GATGTGGATTAAAAAGTATGTACTCCACTATAAAAACAGAAAATAAAATGACCACTTAATCTAGGTACCTATATAAATCCCCCCAACGTGCGTTCACCTTGTCGTGGTGGGGGGGCTCAGTAGTGGTAGCGAAGCTAAGAAACGCACAGGGAGGTTGCCCACTTCGGTGGGCGGTGGGAGGTGGCCCTCTTCGGGGGGTGGTGTACCATGCGGGTTGCTCCTGGTACTTCTCTGATAGCAGAGTGGACTGTGGAGCAACCCCATGGTTGTGGTGGTCTGCTTCGGCAGACTTGCCGTCGGGGCGTCGTAGTTGAATGCGTAAGCGATCCTGCGACGCCCCATTAAGACGGGGGAAGGTTTTGTTGGGTTTTAGTGGGTAGTACTGGCTGTATTACGCCGGTGAGTCCCACACGTCGTGCGTAAATGCATTTCCCAACGTTAAAAAAAAAGGTACCTATATAAAACAAAGTCGGGTGTGTTACAACTCATAACTCGAGAACTGCTGGACCGATTTTTATAATGTTTGTTTTGTTAAATTTGTCTTCACTCCGAACAGCAGAATAACTATTAAAAGATCGGAAAGATTTACGAAAAAAAATAAAAAGAAAAGTCTATTCCATACTAAGGATCAAAACGTACGTAGTCGCTAGTACATAATAGTTTAACCAAGTGTTTTCATATTATAATATGGTTTATAACTTTCAATAAAGAGATCAAAAAAAAATTCGACCCAGTAAATAATAATATTATGGACTATATATTATGGATATCTATTCTATATATATAAAAGGCAAAAGTGATTGAATGATGCATCAACGCATAGGCCAAACCCTTAAGGCTAGAAAATTGAAATTTCGCACACGTATTTCTCTTATGACGAAGGCATTCACTAAGGAAGGATTTTTCAAAATTCAACCCCCAAGGGGGTGAAATAGGGGATAAAAGTTTGTATGAAACTTTTTATTCCTTGGATATATTTGCCTGAAATTTCATATGAAGTATAAGTATGGCATATGTATATGTGTAGTAATAATAAGTATGGCAAAAATAGTGAGTTCCGTATTTCAGCGTTTTCCAAAATTCAAACCCCAAGAGGGTAAAGTAGGGGATGATAGTTTTTATGGAAGCCACTTTTTAGAGTTTTTTGTAGTTTTAGCGCGAGCGAAGCCGCGGGTTCTGCTAGTAATACATATATTGACTTAAAGCTCTAGAGTTAAAATAGTCAGTCGCGTATGACGTCCTGGTAATCTATTTACATTACTATGCACGCACGTACGCGGGTTTTCAGTCGCTATAAACGCTCGCCGGCAAGCCAATATTCAATATAAAATAAAAATAAAAACTGTTACAAAATTAAATTATCGTTATAATCAAATAAACGCAATCAAATTTATTTTTATTATGTTTAAGCACCTTCGTAAAAGGAGGATTTTTTACCGTTAGTAGCAAAGGTAGGTACATTTGTTTTTTTTTGTATGTTTTATGCGATGTATTCACCGATTATATGCGATGCATGTATGTTTTTTTTCTCATTGAAAAGGCTTATATTTTTTTGTGAGTAGTTTCTTTTTAACTTGAAGTTAAGTTTATCTATATAGGAAGAATAAAAAAATAATAAAAAATATGGTTTTCCAAAAAACTCGGTTGCCCAGGACTATATAAAAATATAAAACAATTTATAAGATCAAAATATATAAAAGAAACCTATGAAACAGTTTTATACCGATAGCAATCAGTGAACCTAATATAATACAAAGTACTTTCCTAGATATACCATTTGAACGTAGAGAACAAACGACAAGAATTGGACTTCGCAAATGCAATAAGAGGCCGTCACATCTGCTATAAATAGCTATTCCTCCGAATTAAGACATCGACCAATTCATTTTACGACCGTCCGTCCGTCCTCTTGCAATGATTCTGTTTACTACACTATATCCATCATATAGTTTATTTGTTTTTATGTAGATTTAGTGTATTTATGTATTGATTATTATTTTCTCTTAATTAGTGTTTTTTTTACAAGTATATATAAATAAAAATAAAGCTGTTCTAAAAGAATGGCTGGATCATACTTAAATTAAGCGCTTTGTATTTTTTTGTTAATATATTTGTAATAGTCCAAAAATTGCCCGGAAAACTGGGAAATTTGGTAACACTAAATTTGCTTTTTCTTTATATATATCTTTCTATAAACTTAAAGACTTTTATATGAATAAAAAAATTGACAGGAAAAACATTACAAAACAACATAGTTCTTTTCAATATTCATACCAAGCGATTCTCGTGGAATATTACTACGTCAGTGGCATTGAGAGCTCACGAATCACAATATAATTTAAATGAATTCTTATATGCGACTAGTGATGTGTCCCGACTTCGCCACCCAGTTAATTTTGATTTTACGCCCAAAAATATTTTCCAACGCAAACTTTCACCACGTTTTTTCACCTCTGTCATCGTTGAAATAGGTCATGAAAATTCACGTCTTAAGTTTTACAATCTGATCTAGATATTGTTGAACAAATCAAGATTTGTTGATAATTTAAGTTTTCGCCCTATTAACCATCGCATAAGTTTAGTGTATAATGTAACATTAAAGTACTTAACAATACGAAATAATAAAATGATAATAAAAAGAAAATTAGGTAATATTGCAAAGATCAACTACTATTATAAATTCATGAAAGTTTGTTTGTATGTATGTATGTATGTATGTGTGTATGTATGTATGTATGTATGTGTGTATGTATGTATGTTTGTTTGTTACCCTTTCACACTGAAACGGTGGACAGATTTCAATGAAATTCAGTACATACTATGACTAAGACTTGGAATGACACATGGCTGTCTGTTCGTAATAAAATTTGCCAAACGTACATAAAATCAATATACAGCTTATCAAAATATTCGAATAAAATGTAGATAATGTAAAATGTAGAGTAAAAATATCATTTTATAATGCCTACACTTGGATCGTAATGATGACAAAATGTATACTACGTTCATTTTGATAGAATGGCCTTTAAAATATAATTAAGGTTTATATACATAGTACAATTAAATTTATGAAATTTCCAAAACAAGTTAAAATGCAAAATGTTATAAACTTAACCAGTTTAATTGTCGCAAACTCTGGAAGGAGAAGAATATTGTAACGAGATATAACTTTTAACGAGCATTTTAAGATAGTGAGCGTTAAGTTTGTTAATATTATATTTGTATATGGCGTAACAGTAATATAAAAAGAAATCTTATAGAAAATAGTAGGTATTTTAGTAGGTACAGAGTACCTACCTACCTCGGTAGGTACCTACTTAATTTAAAAAAAAAATCATAGGTATTTATACATATCAGTTTAGTTTTGCTTCAATAATAATCAGCTGGGCCAATTTTTATAAAATTTATTGTTGTAGAAACTTAAGCAATAAAAACACTAGCACAAAATAACACATACGAGTATAATACCTAATTTTGGTAAGATTTTACTACATAGATATTTCCATTTGAATAATTTATCTGCTTCTAGATTTCCAATATTGACGTACCTACCAAGAGCTATAAACGAAAACACGACGATTGAAGCGTTTTCATTTTCAAGTGTCGTTATAATATAATAAACATAAATTTCTTTTGATATAAATTATTCAGTTCATCTAGTTTAAGAGGAGCTTGATAATAAATATTTTTGATATAATTTTTTTTTTTGAGTTTATTTTAAAATATGAGCTATCAGTTTATTATTTCTTTTGTATATGTACTCGTATATGTATTAGACATTAGTATTTTTAACACATCTATAATTAAGATATTTTCTTTCTACGATACTATTGTAAGCTTTTATGTAGGTATGATTTTAGCCTTTTGTCACGTAATATGTTAGGTACGCTAATTTTAAGTAGTTAATTAAAAAGTTAGTGGTATCATATTTTCAACACAAAATGATCTCTTCGTGTTGTTGAAAAACATTTTTCGACAAATATCTAGTGAAACCATGTTTGTACGTAAAAGCGAAATACCACTCAGTCACTGATTGATAATAATAATAATAAGCGTAAATTATGAAACACGCGCGTGAAAATTGCGGGTAAAATCTAGTCTAACTATACTCGTATATACACATATTTATTATAATTTTCCTGACTGACTCATGAACGCTGAATCTAAAGGCACACAGCCCTGTTATACAGTCTATTAATATAATAACATGGATAAGAAACGATTTAACCAAATCAAATCTAAACGAAAGTTTGATTGAAAAATATATATATTTTATATGCCTTTATTTATGCTCTAGGCATAACTTTTTGAAATATATTTAGGCTGTTACGGTGAGGAAATATTCTTTTGTTTGGCACAAAAAAGACGATTTAAAAATTCAAATCTAATAAAATAATGATACCTAAAATGCGTAAGAGTATTCACAAGTGTTTCAAGACAAATATTATGTCAAATATAAACAGCGTCATTACTTACGTTAGCAGTTTATTTTTTTATATAAATTCCTTTAATAGCCTTGATTTAGCGCGTAAATATTGGCATTTATAATTTTACATTCATTTACGTTGCAACATTTTTTTTATACATAATTCATTTAATTAATGTAAAAAATCAGACAAATGCTTTTATTATCTAAAAATAAAATTTTAATTTTAAAGTATTTGTCAGTATTGATCAATGGATATTGGATAGTAAAGATTTCATTCCGATTTTTTTATGAATGGAGAATTGCGTGACCTTCAAAACTTCACTTTATTACTAATTAAAACTATGATAAGAAAAAAAAAACATGTCCAATCAGAATCGAGCTAGAAATAGTCAACAATCTAGTGACTCAGTTTATTAGTAAAATTGTTATATATTTATATTTTAAATTGTACACTTTGCTAAACATAAAATTATTTGTTTGCACTCGAAAGTTATTTGTGCTCTGTCAGGTTTTTAAAGAACTATAATATTAAAATTGTTCTAAATTTCTACTGAAAATATAAATATCTCACCAGAATTTGGTGATGAGTACGATTGCCTCTATAGACCCATTGAACGTTAGAATTTTGCAATTGCAGCAAACCGCCACAAGGAATCGTAACATTCGTTCCCTTGTCTGCAGCAACTTGCCGAATCTCCACTTCTTCGCTCTGGGCCCAAGGAACTAGTGCAGAAAAATAAAAATACATCAGTAAATAAAATTAAAGGCACGTACTTACAGAATAATTTAATTCAATATTATTTACCTTTTAATCCAAGGCAGAACAGAGGCACCAATATACGTTTAAGAAACATCCTACGATTTCTACATCTAAACTCTTAGAAAAAAAATCCACAATCACTATCTAACCGTGAAGTATAAAAGATTTTTTCTAACTAATTTATTACATTCGGGATAAAAACGACGGAAGGCGAAATAATAGGAAACAAATTCACAACAAACGTCTTCTCTCCATTGATAAAAGTCATAGACTAGATAAATGTCACATTTGCAGTTGCCATTTAAAAAATGCCGAAAACTACCGAAGTTTGCGATAACAGCTGTCAGATGGTTGTCTATGATGCGACATTGGAACGTCATAGACAAGAATATAGATTTTCTTCGGACATGGCCGCTGTATCGGCAATACAACACCTGCAATGTTTTGTATATTCATATTCATTTTTTATAATGAATAAGGAGTTTTTTACTTATAAGTAGTGATTAGTGGATTGTGTATAGTGCTGTGATATTTGTAATGGAATCGGAGAGCGAGAACGAAAAAAAGAGAATCCGTGATGCAATTCAGATGATAGAGACCATACAGTCGATGATCGACGTTTCAGCGGACAGACTCGAGGGTTTGAGGACACAATGCTCGACCAGTGCAGAGTTAACGCAGCAGGAGATCCGCACTCTGGAGGTAGGATGTGGTCATTTTTTGCGTTACGTGTTATTGAAACAAGATGTGCCCTTGAAAGGTTCGGCAGGGCTGAGCTTCAAGGCCTCTGGGCTCAAGGATCGCGGTGAATAGTTCATTGCCGTTGTAGAAAGTGTGAGCGCGCGCATACCCAGTTGCCTTGAAGTTATACTGTCCTATTTTACAGTGTGGTGTTGTAACGATTGTATACTAGAATAATATTACGATGTCGTATCGTATTAGAAATAATGACGAATATTCATTTAAAATAAATGAAAATCTACTTATTGAAAAGAACAGGACCTTATTATTTAATTACGATTGTTTGGGATGTTATTTTATTAATATTTTAATTCAAAATCATGTGCAAAATACACATTTTGAAATATAATACTATTTACAATTCAGTACTACAATATGAGTTAAAATAGCATGGCCTAATGCTTAAGCCACAATATATTATACTTACTTAAATTTTCATATAAAACTTCTATAGTAGGCTTGTAGTTTGTTAGGACTCTCCACTAAACTCATTATTATGTACCACTTCAAAATTAAAACAATGGATATTTTGCAATTCAATGGGAATAAATGTAAATTATTAATATGACAATACTTTATAGGACTTAACAATAGAATAGTTTGTTAATCCTAAAAAAGAATAGCAACTTATTGTTAGGCATAATTGATTATTGAATTTATGTAAGAATTAGGCCTTTGGTATTATAAATGTTTAAGTAATATTCACTTTGCAATGATATTGAAATTGACCTAATTTAACAAATTGCATTATATGTTAAATAATTAAAATGGGTTACTTATTTAAAGATTTGGCTAGTAGAGTTTTCTTTTTTAATAGAACAGCAGATCTGTGTTTGATATTAGTCTACTTTATACTACTAATATATAACAAAAGAAATATATCTTGGATTGAACAAATAGTAATAATTTTATAGCCGGTAAAAAATATAATTCATAGAACTAAGCCTAGGCTTCAATGGACCTTGCTTATTAATTTAATCTAAAATTTAAGATAAATCAGTTATTTTTGCAATTCTTCTTCTTCAAAAAAATTCTTCTTCAAAAAGATCTTGTACACATTTTTGGGCATGTCATGTCGTTGAATATGCAATAATACATTTTTTTTGGGAAGCAAACAGTATTTATAATATTTATAGAAAAGTACCTGGGCGACCGAGCTGGTGAAGATATGTATACCTTTATTCATTTTATGTCTGTTTTTCTTTAGAGGGTTATAGTCGTATATAAGATACATAAAAGACAGCACATACACCAATAAAGTTTCCACTAATGTACATAAGTCATGTTAATGAGTAGTCAGAAAACAAGAAAACAGGAAAATCACAAAAAAGAAAAAAAAACTTTTTTAAAATATATTAAACTAGTATAACTGCAAGAACGTAAATATTTACTTTTTCGCTATCAGATATTTTTATTCAGAGAAATTTAAATCAATAACATGTTTATATACAAGTTTTGTTTATTTTAATCAATTTTATTGTTATTTTCAACCATTCAGATGAATCATGTTATATTTGTAAATATTGTCTTTATGTTATTGCTATTATACATCATACATATATGTTGTTTATAAATATATGTGTTTTAAATTCTAAATGCAGGTTTATAGCTTTTTGCACAAATTTAAAATTTTGTAATGACATTGCCCATTTTATAATAATTCAGTAGAATATTGTTTCTTCATAAAACAGAAATGACCTATTAGTATAATCTTATGACACACTTTGATTGAATGAAATATTTTTGGTGGATTGTGTATGTTCATATTTCAATATTAATAATTAGAAACAGGTACCTAGAAAGAGCCAGAGGTCGTAGCTATTTTTAAATTTATGTAAAAAGCATCTTAATACAGGTTAAAAGCTCAAAGAATTATATCTGAATAATTTTAATTTGTAATATATTTTTCTTCAATAGGGAAAATTAGTGAAGCACTTTTCCCGACAGCTAGTAATAAAGGCTCAGTTCGTAGAAGAGATACAACGTGAGCTTGGACATGTGCCGAGTCTGCGGCAGTGGCTACGCGTCGTGGGACTCAGTGTTGATGCTATAGAGGTATGGATGCTGGTGTAATTTATATATAATATATAGAAAAGCATTGATAAATTAATATGATCTAACTTTACCCAAAACGTCATATAAAAACATTTAAGAGATTATTTATAATTAGTCTTTATGAAAACAAGTGCCTGACAGTTGTATTAGCCAAACAGGAAACCCTATTACAAAGAGTTCTTAGAAGCCTATAAGAGCTTTTAGTCTTAAGGCAACTAAATGGAGTCTGATCATAGGATCTTCCTGAAAATATTATTACAATGAGTGGGACCCACACTAATTATCAATTCAACAGGTTTAGGTTGTCAAAAATCTCGGAAAAAAACTTTGGGGATCTTGGGTATGATTCACTTAAATGAAAATGTTTCTATTGGCAATAGTATTATAGATAAGATGAAGTAACATGTTCAACACGTACTTCAAGTTTATTTTACGACCGTCGTTTCATTGTGTATTACGAGCCTTTTGTATTTCCAACTCTCCTTGCACCTGCTTCGATGGTGTAGTGGCTGACATGTACAGGTGATGTTTCATCCCAATGCCTTCGGAGAAAACGTAAAGCCGTCGGTTTTGCGTCTGATCTTTCACCGGTAGTGTTGAATTGTCGTCCCACCAAAGTTTGAGAGCACTTGTGTCTGCGCGTACACTTGAGCGCTGTTATATCTCTTTTGCGCAGTTGGCTAGTCGCCGTGGTCGAAATCGGTCAGAAAGACTTCATTATTTCCACTTAAACTGATGTGCCAAGATTCCATACAATGTGTATGCCACAAATTTGTTTAAGACAAAGCGTGACGGTCAAAACCTTCACAAAGCACGTAGACCTAATATTGGCTAGAAACTATAAGTCATTGTTCTATCTATTATAACCTGTACTTTATTAACTGACTTCAAGAAAGATTAATTGGTAAAATGAGGGTATCCAAATCTTAAATAGTTTTGTGTTTTTTATATGTTACGCGATGTCTTTGCCACTATTCTGTTCTCAAGAATATTAAGGTTTTAATAATATAAGTAGGTAGTAGTAACTGGGAGCATCCTTATACCTAATAAGGATGCTCCCATAAACATTTTTTTTTCTTAACGTTAAAACGGTTGAATGGATTTGGATCTAAATTAGTACAGGTATTACACATAACGCATAGGCTGTTAAGCTTCTAAGGACACTCGATCGAAGCAAGGGTAAGTTGCTAGCATTTGCCGACACATTGGCTTAGTTTGTGGTGACCCTGCTTGCTTTGCTATTGGTCGTGGGTTCGAGTCCCGCTGGGGGCATTCATTTGTTTGATGAGCATGAATGTTTGTACTCCAGTCATGGGTGTTTATATTTATAATATGTATGTATTAAAAGTTATATATGTGTAGTGTATCAATTATCTGGTATCCATAACACAAGCCTCGTAGCTTACCATGGAACTGGATGGTGTTGTGTGTTAATATCCCAACATTTATATTTTAAATTAAGTATTTAATATTTATTTTCTCAGGCTGTATTATGCCGAGTGTCGTCACTAGAGACCCTGCGTGAACGCACCGAACATGAATTGCGGGCGATGCTGTGCGGGGCGCGGGACGAGGAGGTCAGACGGCTGTGTCGGGCCATGCAGAGGCTAAGGACTTATACTGGTAAGCTTTATGATATTCTTCTTAGATTTACGCGGATATTTGACACTTTTAATTATACTGTAATCAAATCTAAATAAACTTTATTCAGTTAGACTTTTATAAGCACTTTTGTATGGTCATCTTTTATATTATTAAATTAAATGTTAGTATGTAAGTCCCTGAGGAATCTACCATCGGCTCGGAAAGCAGTTCTTCTGAGAAGAGCTGGTGACGAACTCAACAGTTATTATTTTAAAATGATGTCTGTTTACAATATTGCAATGTATGTGAGACCCAAACAGAAATTAGTCTCACACATTGATTTGAAGTAATCCGTGATATAACAACTTCTTGTCGTTATCGTGTCGTCTTTTGACGTCTTTTTAAGACCTACCATTTCCTAATATATTGTTTTGATGTATCTAAATGAGAGATTTTCTTAGTAATAGTAAAAGGTATCCTAAATGTTGACCCGAGTAATAAGTTATTACTACAAAAAAATGAATTAAAATCCGTTCAATACATGTCAACTATACAAATATATAGACAAATAGACAATAATTTCAATAACCCTTGTTTTGAGTCATATATTCTTGATACAATACATTATATTCATTGCTTTTTAAGCACTAAACTAAACTAATATACACATTTAGCTTTGTCACTATTTTATTATATGTGCATATAGAACTAACTAAAAAATAAACAATTTTCTTTACAGAAGCCCTAGCCCGAGGAGATGGAGCGGCAGAACTTACTCTGTACTGGGACTCGTGGGAGCGACACGGCAGAGGCTCGCCCCGCGCTAGAGATGACCGCAATTCTAATAATAAGAAAAGTACGTAAATATATACATATATTATTATAATATCATATTGGGGTAATATATTTATATTTTATTGTGTTGGGTTGTAAATACATATATTAAATATATTATTTAAAAATTTAAAATTGATTATAATGGATGAAGAATAAAATATTAGTACCACCCAACTAGGTATTATCCATATTGTCGTAGGAAAAAAAAAATAGAATTATATACACATTCTAATTATTATTTGATTATTTGGCATACTTAAGGCATGGAACTTTTATATCTTCTGAGATATTTAAAAATTTAGAAGAAATAAGGGTGTACCACAAGTGTTATTTATATGTTTGATTAAATCTAAATTAATTAAACATATAACACTAGCCCAATGAAGGTGGTTCAAATCCTGGGGCTCGCACCTCTTATATTTTCATGTGCGTATCATTTCCAACGTGATTACCACTTGTCTCATGATGAAGGAAAACATCGTGAGGAAACCTGCATGTCTGAGAGAACCTAACAAGTTTTCGAAAGACATGTGAAGTCCGCCAACCCGCACTTGGCCAGCGTGGTGGACTATGGCCTGATTCCCTTCGTACTGAAGGCAGGCCCGTGCCCAGCAGTGGGGCGTTATAAATTAATGAAAATATGACTTAAGATTTTACATTTCCACATTTCAGCGGGTGGCAAGTCCCCCACCACCCCCATCAACAAGCGCAAGCAGAACGTGCACCTGCCGCCGCCCGCCGCCCTCACCAAGTCCAGGTCGCACGAGTCGCAGCTGTCTGTAAAACCGGACGCTTCTGATTTGAGGTATATATATGCCTATATACGTTTATATTATTATCCATATTCTGTGAATATCATCTTTAGTGGTTACTAATCTTGTGGGCGTTATCAGGGCTCAAATAATTGCTCAAATAACTGCTGGATATTCAAATTAATTCGGAATAAAAACTAAACCTAATAACATAGTGACTTTAAACAATAATAAGGTTTTATAGCAGAAAAAGGCAATTAAATCCTTCTCCATCATATATATATTTGAAGTTACTATATGCCAATTTATGTATTACTAGCAGAACCCGCGGCTTCGCTCGCGCTAAAACTATTAAAAAAAAACTAAAAAGGTGGGTTTCATATAAACTTTCATCCCCTCTTTTACCCTCTTATGGGATGGATTTCGAAAAAGCATTAATACCAAGTTTCAAGTAATTCTGATCATAAATATTTTTTTGGGTTGCATTATTAAGTGTTTTCCCGTGGAAATGAGATAGTTTCCCGCAGTAAAAAGTAGCCCATGTCACTCTCCAGCCCTCCAACTATCTCCTCACAAAAAATCACGCCAATCCGTCGCTTTGTTTTGGCGTGAAAAAAGGACAACCGAACAAACAAACACACTTTCACATTTATAATATTAGTATGGATTTAGTACTTGGACGATATATAAATTGGCAATAGTCTTTGGATGGGCTAAATTATTATTCTTAATTATTACTAGCGACAACAGCCAGTCGTCGGCCGTGTGCACGACGGAAGGCAGCCCGCCCGCGTCGCCGCGCGAGCCCGAGCCCGACCCGCCGCCGCCCCCTAGGTATAACAATAATGTGAGTATTGGATTGTACAATACATATACACAATGCCTAGTAGGGTTTTAAGTTTTTTATGCAGAACTCTAATTTTTTTATAAAATAAAAGTGCATTAAGTCACTCCATATAACATCGGGTACCTAGTCCAGAAAGTCCCGTCAAAACAGAGATTATTTATTATTATTATTATTTCGGAGATTATCCGGAACAAACAGACAGACAGACAGACAAAAATAAAAAAAAGTGTTTTTCTTATAAGTTCCGTATATAATTTCATATGCATTTAATAAAACGCTGTTATTTTGACATTACAAACAGACACTTCAATTTTATTTACCTGTACAGATATTCGCGTAAACGTTTGTTTATATAAGTCTTAATTGAATTAAAATTTTCCTACCGTCCCCCCCAGCCGATGCCGCCCCTCCCCGCGCCGCGCTCCCCGCGCACGCCCACCGTCAGCGGCTGCATGGCGCACGACATCGCTCACCGTTTCACGAAGACATTCAACATGATAGCCACCTGCGATTACTGTGATAAGCAGATGCTCTTCGGTTCCGGGCTCAAGTGTAAAGAGTGCAAGTTCAAGTGTCATCGGTAAGTGTTAAATTTTCATACCATCGGTCAAAAAAAATACTAGATACACAATCAGCGATAATAAATGTACTCACCGAATGAGCGCTCATTTCAACATTTGGTCGCGCTTTTAATTTTTTTTTGTGAAAACAACTTTAAGCATTGCATTTAAGTTTCAATTTACATTGTTTGTATATTTATTTCAATTAGAATAATTAACTAAACACAATTTACAGTTTTAAGAGAACTTTTGCATGGGATTGTGTATCTAGTATTTTTTTGATTGAAAATTGAAAACTTGGGAATTTTATATATTAAAATAAATTATGTATAATGTTTGTTGCAGTGATTGTGAAAGTAAAGTTCCTCCTTCATGCGGTTTGCCGCCTGAATTTGTTACGGCGTTTAAGGAGAAGTTCCAGAAAGACGGTAATTGTCTGCATCAAATTATTTTGAAATAGATATTTTATAGATAGAAATGTTAGTGCCATTACTACAATCATTGCTTGTTTTATAAAAAAAAGTGACGCGCTTTTCTTAACTTTACTTGTAATGTAATAGTTTTTTTAAAACAACTTTAATTTTGATGTAGTTTGAAACTTTGTAAGTTGATAATCCACGAGCTGCATGAATGAATGCACGTAATGTGTATATAATTAAATTTAATACTTTTTAAGATTTTAAATAAAACTATCTTCGGTTTTTTTCGATTTTAGGTTTACAACGTTTCGATTTTTTTTACAGAAATCATGGTCACGGGAGAGTCAGTCTCTCAGAAAAGATAATTATAATAAAAAGTTAGTTTTATTTAAAATGTAATTTCATTTATATAAACAGGTATATCAATAAACATTCAATTCCTTTCTTTTTTAATTCACTCAAAATTATATCTATACTTAATATTATAAAGAGACAGTTTTTTTTGTATGTTTGTTTGAACGCACTAATCTCGGGTCGCTCGCTCTAACTACTAATCTGACTTGAAAAAAATTTTTTTGCATTAGATTGCCCGTTTATTGAGGAAGGCTATATATCATCCTGCTACTACCCAAGGGAGCGGAGCAGTAATTATGTGATTTCCATACATTATAGTAAAACTGTAGTTTTTATATAAACGGAAGTGTGAACGCGGGCGAAGCCGTGGGTACTGCTAGTATGTATATAAAATAAATAATAACTATAACATAACATCATGTTGTGTATGTGCAGGTGCGTTGTACCTGTCGTCGTCGGCGGGCGCGCGCGCCGTGCCCTCGTTGACGCCCAGCCGCCGCCGCCCGCCGCCCGCGCCGCACCACCACCCCGTATGTACCTCACGCACTTACACTTCTTTTGGCACGTTTGGAAAAAAATACGGGAGTAAAATTTTTACGGCCAAAAAGCGACGTGATGAAGTTAGCTGTATTCCCTTTACAAACGGAGAGTTGTGCTTGTGACATACGGGATGAAATTTTTAGCTATTTTTGTTCTTTTACGCTAAAGAAGTATAACTTTTTACGTGCGTACATAAGTACACACACATGGTTTTTTTGGTTGTCACATGACCTGAACGACCGAAATTTAAATTAAAAATAACACTACTAATAAATAAAATACAAACAGTGTAAAATAACTAGGAACAGCGCGGGAGGTCACCTGCGACTTGTAAACAATTGAGAAATTGAGTGTGCAAGTTATTTACTTATCACAGTAATGAGTTTTTATTAATATTTGTAAACTATTTTAAAAAATTATTGCTTAGCTTCAAGACTATACTATTCCTTAGTTTGAGTATACAGCATACTAGCAACTCATTTCGTCCCTAGCTTGCTTCCCAACACAAACTTTCATCCCCATTTTCATCCCCTTAAGGGATGATTTCCGGGATAAAAAGTATTCTATGTCCTTCCCAGGGTTTCAAACTATCTTCTTACCAAATTTCATCTCAATCGGTTCAGTAGATCCAGAAGTTATCCCTTGAACGTCACAAACTTACAAACTTTACCTCTTTATAACATTAGTAAGTAGTAGATAATGTATTCATATAATAACCCCCACGTCAGCACTCGCAGGGTTGCCCCGACTCGTCGTCCAACACGTCGTCGTGCAACAGCTCCACGCCGTCGTCGCCGGCGCTGGCCGCGCCCGCCACGCCGCAGCCGCACCCGCACCACGCCAAGCAGCAGTTCCATTTCCCTGGTGACTATACACATGCACAAATACACATGCTCACACGAACACACATGTTCATACGTACGCACACATACGCACACACGTGCATACGTACATGAGCAGACACGCGCGCACACACATACACACGTATAATCCTCGCCAATCTTTTTGGTTGCCCTGAAGTTGGCGTTAGCAAGACCTCGCGCAGATACATTCGAGTGGGCAATAGTTAACGCAATTATAAATATATGTTAATAAAGTAACATAATATTTTTATATATTACTTCTTCATACACAATGATTTGTTTTATTTAGTTGTAATAAATAAAATTATAATATTGATAAATAAAGGCAATTAAAAAGATTTGAAAATTAAATACATTTCATCATCAAAGAAATTTTGAATGTCAAATTGAAGTCCTATTCGAGGTTGCTTTCTATAAATTATTGTAAGATATAAATAACAAAAGTTAAACACTACATATAAACACACGCATAAATGAACATACACACCTTAATGATAGTGTATAAACAAAATTTATTTAATACAACTGATAACTATAAGTTTATTCACTAATTTGATGCTATAGAACACACAGCATACCCCGCTAAGTCTAGAAGCATGAGGTTTTGCGCAAAAGTTTGTTTTTGTAACGGTGCTAGTGAAGTATTTTGTTTTAAATTTGTCCCTAATATAGTGGATAATATGTCGAAGTTTTAATACTCAGATTTCTTTTTATAGGTAAAAGTTATTTGTATCATCGTTCTATTGAAAATTTGTACTCTAAGTACATTGAATTTAATATAAAATTTTAATATGATTCGGTACACGACAACATATTTATTAAGTAACTAGCGACTCACCCTCTCTGGTTCGTCCCTAGCTTGCTTCCCAGTACAAACATTCATCCCCATTTTCACCCCCTTAAGAGATGATTTTCGGGATAAAAAGTATCCTATGTCCTTTCCAGGGTCTCAAACTAATTTCGTCTAAATCGGTTCAGTAGACACAGAGACTATTTCCTACACCCTCACAAACTCACAAAATTTACGTCTTTATAATATTAGTAGAGATGTATATAATGTCTAAAAGCGGTCTTTCTGAATAGATATGAGAACTGCATATTGCAACTATCGCATGAGTACATAGACCATACTTCAGAGCCACTTCTGCAAACGTCCATACACAGATGCTTCACAGTGATTGCGGGTTCGATTTCCGCACGCGACACACGCACTTATCGTAGTGCTAAAAGTGAAGTATCATACTCGTACTAGGAGTAGTTAAGTGAAATATGTTTTTTTTAATAAGTTAATATAGCATCACGCACGCGCTTATAGCTATGATATTATGTAATTTAATTATAATTAATATAATAAATTAATATGTACATATATTATATAAGGAATTCATTTAAAATTAAACAAAACATAGCATATATATATAACGTTTTAGATAAATAATACTTAAATAATATATATGTAGTTAATTTTTTTCTTACCATAATTGATGCATCAACAAGTTTTGTTTTTTCGTTTTTTTTTTAAATATTTTTTATAAATAATTATATTTTTTTTAAAGTTAATTGGAAATTGGTATTCAAAATTAAATTTGAATTCTTTCAAGTCTGTCTATTTGGCTCTTATAATACGGCATTAAAACTGTCGATGCACAGCAAAGGTGAGTTCTTGCAATGTTATTTGAAATCTAATTCGACCCTCCAATAATGTATGTATATATTGTGTATTTATTTAAACTAATTATAAATATGTTTAAAGCAACAATAAACAAAATGTTTGACAAAATTAAAAAAAAATGCTTTCCTCTTGTTGTATGAACCGCCTTAGGGTATTCATTTTATATTCATATTACATTTGCATTTGTATTATATATTTATATTTTATGTATTTGCTATGATAGACATTAAAATTTTATTGCTCACATATTCACAAATTAGTTTTAAAGATATATATATATATATATATATATATATATATATATATATATATATATATATATATATATATATTAGATTAATAGTAGTTCGAATAATAAAGGCAATAGCGGGTTTACACATTTCCCAAGTTGGCTGTTAAATGTTTGCTGTCCTTACTACTTACTTACTACTATACATACATATATATTACATATTTTTTAATAGTCAGCAAATTAATATTTCTTAAATTTCGGAAAAAACTCTTTTGATTTTTTAAATAAATCCCCAAAAATATCCGTTTAAAAAATATTTTTTAGGTATATTTTAAATAGTTTTTAGGTATATTTCTTACTTAAATATAGCTCAAATGTTCCGAATTATACAAAAAAATACAAAATAGTTTTGTCCGCAAATTCGCCGCCACTAAAATTTTTCGCTCCAGACTCAGCCTTATTCAGCCTGCCGGTAAATCCGCCATTGAATAGAAATTAATACCAAAAAAATGCATTATTCTAAAAAATGTTACATGCATTGTTTTATGAAATGAAAAATAGATAAAATTGACGTAGTAATTATGCAAAATAGATCCACACACAAAAATTACTTTTGAGAAAATAGGAGTTTTAATATTTTAAGCTTAAAATTTTGTTGGTATCGTTAGTGTCTGCATGTTTCAAAAAAAGGCACTTTGCTTTGATATTTTTTGCATATCCTAAAGTCGATATGTAGATGCCATTTATTACAGTAACTCAAAAAATGGTTTTCGTGGGCTGGATCCATTTTGCATAACTTCGTCCTAATATATTGCTTAAATAGAAAAATACTAGGGATGTGTCCGATACCGATATATCGTCAGTTTTCCGATATATCTGTATCGGCGATATTATGTATTTTGCCGATACACCGATACATTTTTAATAATTTAAGGATGTTGTGTTTTCTGAATAGAAATCTCATAAATGTAAATTTTAAATATTAACTTCTAATCTGAACTTTATTATTAAATTGATATTTTGTTAAATTACAATTTCCAAATTTCGCTAGTTAAGATTCTAAATAAATATTACTTATGTAGGTAATGCCGTCTGTTTCTGTGTTTTCTATCTTAACCCTTTTTACTTTTTATACCTTTTGAAGTCTGTAGTGTTCGCATCGCCGATACTTTTTTATAAATATCGATATCAGTATCGTATCGGCAAAAGTGCATATCCATACATCCCTAAAAATAGATTAAAAATTCTAACATAATATTCGGAATAACAGTTAGTAATAGGAATTAAATAAGTTTTTGTTCACAGAAATCAAAACGCCCGTGTCGAGTCCGAACCACACGTCCTCCATACAGTCGCCAGCGAGGTCTCATGTCGAGGCGAAGGAGGATCTCACATCTAGCACTAAAAGCGGTTTGTTAATTGTTATTTATTAATTACTTATTATTATTATGGATACATGGTCGTGGGTTCGAATAGATAATTGGGAAAATGCTTAAGATGTATTTCTGTGGGTTTTTTTCCTTACATGATTGGATTCTTTTCTGTTAAGAAATTCTTAATAACAGTGTGTAAAGGGTGGTGCAAAGGTGTTGGTAACTCGTTCGATAAATAAGTGAAGCGGGTTCCATACTATGGGTTTTGCACCTTTGGTATATTTATGTGCGAATCGTTTTTAATATGATTATCACTTGCCTTACGGTGAAGGAAAACATCGTGAGGAAACCTGCATATCTGAGAGAATGAAGCAAGTTTTTAAAAGACGTGAAATCCACCAACCTGCACTTGGCCATCATGGTGGACATGGCCAGTTCCCCTTAGAGCGAGGGGAGATCAGTGTCTAACGGTGAGACTTTCAAAAGACTGAATTACATAGTTGTGGTCTCAAACCCTCGGAGAGCAGGTGTCTCGTCTAACTTGCCACTTGTTATCTTCCATATATAATTAACGTTAAAAAAAATTACAATGAGGTATATTATATAGGTCTTAAAAATTGATCTAAAGTACTAAAATTCCTTTATTTAATTAGTGTTTTATGTTACAGAAGGTTCAGGTCGCGTGTCATTAAGCGGTTCCGGTTCCACGGACAGCGGCCGCCACGAGTCCTCTCTAGATAATAGATGGCCAAGACAGAATAGTGTAAGTTAGCTTATTTTGTATTTACACAGTCAGCACTTCTTTTTATAGTCAATTTATACGTTATTACAATACCAGAAAACGTTTAAAAAGTTTCTATTGCTGAATTAAAAAAAAGTGTTAAAGTATGTTTATTGCTTAGATTATTAATACATGTCACATATAAATAATCTAAGGTTTATTGTTTATGTGAAGAAGAAGAACTTCTCAGAAACTATCGCATTTATAATATCACAGATAACATATTACTATTTGTACACTTGTATATTTTTAATTTACAGATGAGGGATTTACCATTAGACAGTGCTAATTCTGACTATTTTTAACCGACTTAACAAAAGGGGATTATTTATTTGCTTGAATTTGGTCTAGACGGTTTTTTCCGCAAACTGTCATGTTAATTAAAAAGATTGATTTAACAATATATAATCAGTTAAATAAAGCAAAATTGACTTGTTTTTTTTGGGATCTATTTTTTCTTTTTCTTTTGTTAGTCTAACATAAACTTTAACAATTAATTATTTTAAACCTCTCTGTTGAAATTTTATCATATAACCAGCCTATAATTTATTAAACTTTCATAATAAATATAATTTCTAAACATGATGTATATATTTACATATATATATATATATATATATATATATATATATATTCTAAATAATTCTATATTTTAAATATATTCTTGAATGGTTAGCGCCTGTATTTAAACATAATGAAGCTTTCTCTTAAACATTAAATTGATTTTTTTCATTCAATAATACTATAAAGAAGTCGTTATGACTTAAGTACATTAGTCATCTCAAGAAAGCTTTAAAGCTCTTTACAAGTGTACAAACAGTACTGAACTATATCTGTTCGATAAGGAGTTATTTATGTGTATGTTGACGTCACTCGCCACTTGAAGCTAAAAGATTTTATGTCCTGACCTCTCTCATCTGCCACTTGCATTTGATTTATTATCATGTCTGGTATTGATTTTATGATGATTTTTGCTCTTTTCAAAATTAGTTTTTTTTAATTTAGAAATCTTTTGTAGATTTTGTACTTTTATTGAATGAAATGAATGAATATACTTTTTCTTGAGTTAACTTCAAATAAATTAGACAAAAAATCTAGTAAACTAAACTTTTACTTCTAGTTTTCCAACAATATACAAGAATGGATCGTAAAACAATTAATGATGTTATAAAGAAATGACAAGATGTGTATATTACGGTGAAGACGGATAGGAGGCCACTTAAGTTGGTAGTTTCTAATAGTTGTAGTCTTCTTGAGTAAATAAGGACTTATCTAGTTATTCATTTAAAGATAATGATTACAGATCACATCCACATATCAAATTATTCATATCATATTCATATCAAATATCTTGGTGTAGATTGCATTAGTAAGTAAGCATGCCTACGAAAGAATTTACAGATGATGAATCGTATATAGAAGCTACCTATTACTCTTATAGTCTGTTATTGATTAAGGTTATTTGCATAACAAAGTTTGATGCATTTTAATATTTTAATGCAACGAATAATAAACAGGGTTTATATTATATTCAAACCTACAAAAGATCCTTTGTTGCCAGTCTGCATGTCAATAACTTAAAAGTCAATAGAGGTAGCGAGATGAAATTAATTTCAAATAAGTGTACGGATCCTTGTAAGAGTAATAATCAAAACTTCTTAACTAAGACTATCAAAAGTTATGTCTGATGTCATATATGTTTAGACTCACAAACTCTTTATTACCTTCACACGCATACTCTTAAAGAAAAATAATAAATTCGATAATCATTAATTTTTAATATTATAGTCATTTTGGCGATTCAATAGAAATTCTTATTTTATTATTAAAACGTAACGCTAATATAAAGTGTGATAGTACGGAATCTTCGGGACACAAGTTAGACTCGCGTTTAACCGATTTTCATATATCTACTATATACATATATACCAGTATGTATATACAAAGATCTCTAACAGGGCAATAAGTTACATTCCAAAGCAAATAACTCGCCGCTGTTCGCATCCGTTACATATTATCTCGATTTGTCTCACTTTGTATCACATTTCCAAACAACATATACAAAGGCCGTAAAACACTATTAAGTTTCATTCCGTAGGCACTAAGTTGTCAATGCACAGCTTATCACCAACATCCGCTCGTACTAAGATAGCTCTGATTGAGCCGTGCATTCGTTTGTTTGACGCGACAATTATAATACTTTTTTGTGTATATAATATCTTTTTGTACTAAAATATATTGTGTTGTTTTATTTATTTTTATTTTCTGTGTGTGTGTTTTTTATATAGTTAGTAGGTATTGTGAAGTCTTTGTTGTGGAGTGATTCATGTGTGACAATATGACCGCGTTTTTTCATCATCGACGTATATTTGAAGAAGTATTTACTTTATTTTTTATTTTAATTCAGTAGTTTTTTTCGCTTAATTTATTAATAATAATAAAAATATTTTTTTACTATTAGATACTTATTTATATTATGAAGTATTAATATATGATTTATTATCTATTATTGACATATCTATGTAGTTAATATATTAAAAATATAAGTCGTATTACTTATATAAATGCGAAAGTTAATTGTTTGTCTTTTCGTTCTTTATCAGAGCAACGAATTTATAATTTATATGATATTTTGAATAAATATAGCTATGGGCTCATACTTTAGAATTATATGTATTTTGTACGTTTTTATTCATTATTAATGGGCCTTTGTTTAGTTCTTCAACTTTGTTATATATTACTTCCGAAATATTAGGTAAATATTTAAAATTGAATTTAAGCAAATCATTCCAGCCATTCTCGATCGAAGCACTCATTATTATATCTTCACTCATAATAATAAATAAAAACCGTCATTTAAATCTATACATATAATAAAATTCTCTTCGATTCGAATCTGTACAATAAATATTTTTTGAAAAAAACCTTAATGAAATAGTCATTATTATCGATACAGATGCCGAATCTATAGTTTTTAGAATTTTTGTCTGTCTGTGACCGTATCACGAAAAAACCGGTTAAACGATTTATTATTTGATATGAAACGATTTTGATGAAATTTGGTATGATGATAGCTGGTTATCCGGGTCGACATATAGGAAACTTTTCACTGCAGGAAAATATTTCATATCTGAGAAATCTAAACTAAACGTTAAAACGTAAATATGCACGAACCCGAGCGGATCGGGGGTGAACCGCTGGTAGGTTATAAATAAAAGCCGTCATCTAAATTTCTTTGACTTACATAAAACCCTCAATTCCAGCTATCTATGAAAGAATGGGACATCCCCTACGACGAGCTCAAACTGTTCGAAATGATAGGCACGGGTCGCTTCGGCACGGTGTACCGCGGCAGCTGGCACGGCGCCGTGGCCGTCAAACTCCTGCACGTCAACGCGCTCAGCGACCACTCTGTGCCCTTAGATACGTTTAAACATGAGGTGAGATACATACATATATACATACATGGCATACATTATCCAATGTGTTAAATATCTGTCAGATCTTTTGATTGTAAAGGAGATATTATAGTGCAGTACATGCACTTTCGTATCCGGTGGGACGACAAGGTCAACAGCTTGATATGCTTCCTAGCCTTGATGAACTAACATCACAACTGCAGGCTGCATTAACAAAAAAAACCGGTTACTATTTTGCCCTTACTCGGGATTCGAATCCGGGCCCTCACGATCTGTAGCAATACGTGCTGGCTACGAAACTAATAAAGCATTCAAACCCAGAGTACATACATAATATATAAAAAATAAAACCCTATCTTCTCTTAACCTTAAAGAAATATGATAGAGTGGCATACCAACATTATGTCGAATGAACAACTCTATTTCTAAGACCTCTATATCTAATGTATTTAATATAATGACACGTTTGGCTCAATTTGTAGTAACCCTAATTGCTGTGCCAACGGTCGCGGGTTCGAGTCCCGCTGCGGGCAATCATTTGTGTGATGAGCTCGAATGTCTACTCCAGTCATGGGTGTTTATATTTATAATATGTATGTATTTTAAGTTATATATGTGTAATGCATCAACTATTTGGTATCCATAACACAGGCCTCGTAGTTTACCATGTAACTAGATGATGCTGTATGTTAATGTGCCGACATGTATTGTCTAACTTATCTCTTCAGGTGGCAACATTCAGAAAGACTCGACACGAGAACCTAGTGCTGTTCATGGGCGCGTGCATGAAGCCGCCGCGGCTGGCCATCGTGACGTCGCTGTGCAAAGGCATGACCCTCTACACCCACATCCATCTACGGAAGGACAAGTTCACAGCAAACAAGAGTGTAATAGTTGCTCAGCAAATATCACAGGTGTGTTGTGGGTTTAATTTTTCTTCTTGTATTCAGCTTTTTTTAACGTCCCACTGCTACGGGTGGGCCTCCCTTCAATACGAGGGGGATCAGGCCATAGTCCACCACGATGGCCAAGTGCGGGCGGACTGAGCATGTCTTTCGAAAGCTTGCTATGTTTTGCCGTAAATTCAATGCTCTCGATGTTTTTTTTTACCGTAACGTAAATACTATTTGCCAAATCGTAATCGACTTGAAAATGATTTGCACATGAGTATTACTTTATACGAGCTTGACTTAAGTGATTTTTATGGATTCGGGCTAAAGCTGTCCCACAATGTGACACGAAATAGATTATAGAAAATAGATATAAGCTGAGATAGATTATAAAAGATAGATAGAAGCTTGGTTATTTTAAGGGGAGTATTCATAGGGAAGTGACATATTTTTATCATCATCATCATTGTAACACGATAGTGGAGTTGCAGGAAAACTAATTAATCAATAAGAATAAAATAAAAAGTACAGTAAACACATCTATTTTTAAAGTATGTCTAAATATTGATACAAAAAAAATTATTGCCATTTTTTATTTCAGGGTATGGGCTACCTTCACGCAAGAGGTATAATTCACAAAGACCTGAAGACCAAGAACATATTCCTGGAGAACGGGAAAGTGGTCATCACCGACTTTGGACTCTTCAGTGTCACCAAATTGTGTTTTGGCAATAAGTCAGTATGCTTCTAGAATATCGATTTCAAACTTCTCAGCTTTATGTATAGATTAGTGTAGATTTTTCAATGAAGCTATTCATAGGCTATTTATTGAGAAAGAATTAGGAGAATGGAAAGCTATCTAAGTCGTAGAGTAAAGGAATCTTTCGTTTACTCTACTTATTATATCTTCTATTAATAATAATAATTAATTATTATTGCAGACTTCATATATTACTATATGTGTAGATTAGTTAAGGAAGTTTTTTTCTAGTAGAAAAGAAATACCTTCTTCGGTTTGTTTATATGTTTGTTAATATAATCGCTATATATTCTTAAACAGGATGATAGTGTAATTGTTTATATTCACAATAAAGAAAAACAAAATCACAGCAAAAAAGTTAATAAATAAATAGAGATCAAAAACGCACAGCTAATAATATATCCGTGATATGTTAAATGATATAGTATATAATATTTAGTAAATTATAAAATAGTATTTAAAAATTAAACGTGGCACTCGGAGACTGCCGCGGTAAAGCTATTGCATAGCATTTTTTATCAACTTATGCAATTATAATTATTTATTTATTTATTAATGCAGTATTTTTTTCCTTGACTTTCTTCATTAATAAATGCACTTTGTTTATTCATATTTAAAACACTTTGTACACAAATTATACGAGTACAGATATTCACTGTTGTACATAGATGATAAATACCTATACACCTATATACTTTCTCACAAACAGCTGATTACGGTAGTTTTCCAATACAACCAATGCCACCTAAAGGCGGGTTGCTGAGCTAAAGAGACAAGCGTGATATTTCAAAAAGTCATTAAAAGTTCTGGTATTTATCGATAGATGGAAAAACTAAAAAGTATCACCGCTGTGCCGGTCGGAGTGAGGGGTATCAGGTTTTTTTCGTTACGGAATTTCTGGATTCGGTCCCCACGCTCAAGGCCCGCGATAGAAGCTATGCAATAGCTTAAAAACAAGTTTGGCTGCTAGCACTACACGATAACATCCGAACTTCTCCGGACAGAACCGAACGTATCGTAACGCTTTTTCGTTACGTGACGATTTCTAGCTGTCAACTTTTACTGTAACTCGCGTTAAATAACTTCGTTCCAATAATAATAATGTCCCTATATTGTATGTGTCAGCGCCCGCGGGGACAGCCTGGGCATCCCGCCGGGCTGGCTGTGCTACCTGGCGCCGGAGCTGGTGCGCGCGCTGCGCCCGCACGCCTCGCTGCATCTGCCCTTCTCCAAGGCCACCGATGTATACGCATTCGGGTATGCCGCTTTGTTTTGTTTTCATTGATCAAAAAAGTACTGGACCAGCTACAAAATATGTCCTCTCCGAATGGGCGCTCATTTAAACATTTAAGCGCGCTTTTAATTTTTTCTAAACAATGCATTTAAGGTTTAAAAAGGTAATGCATTTAATTTCAACTAGAATAATTACGTTAACATAATTGGTTATAGTTTTAGAACTTTTGCATTGGATCGTGTGTGTATCTACACAGTACTTTTTTTGTCGATGTGTTAATTTTGTAAGGCAGAGACCTTTGAGATGTTTAAAGCCTTAGTCTCTCCCGTGGCCATGATTGCTGATGATGCTGTAATGTCGAAAACAAAAACCAAAATAAATTCGCGAAAATATCCGAACAGATGGTTTTATTTAAAATGTCGAATATTCGCTTAAGTCTAAGAAAGTATTAAAGGTTTATAATACCAATGTTAAAATTATTGCTTTTATAACATGCTTTCAGAACGGTCTGGTATGAGTTACTGTGTGGAGAGTATCCCTTCAAGGGCCAGCCGCCTGAAGCTATCATCTGGCAAGTTGGCAAAGGTATGAAGCCATCGCTGGCCAACATGCAGGCGTCAAGGGATATCAAGGTGAGATATATTAGTAAAATAATAAATATAATATAAAAACATTTGTAATATATTTATAGACTTCATACAGGGTGGAACAAATCGATGGGACATGGAAGAAAAGTACCTTAAATATTGAAGTTATCACGATTTACTCAAAGGAAACATTTCATTATTTTTAAAAATAATAATAACTGCATTTAATTATTTTTTTAAAACTTATATGAACCGGGAATCGAACCGAATAAAAACGCAAAAAAGGACACTGTCACTATTTTATCGAATTAATCGAATGGGTCTATGGCAAGAAATTTCATCCTTACCATAGTCTCTATCCATTAATTCGATGAAATAGTGATGGTGTACCTGTTTGCATTTCCAGTTGGTTCGATTACCGGTTCAGGTCACCTCTTTAAAAAAAATTAAATGCAGGTAATCTTATTTTAAAAAATAAAATGTTTCTTTTGAGAGAAACTTGATATTTTCAGTGTTTAAGACACTTTTCTTCCATGTCCTATGCGTTTATTCCACGAAGTTAGAATCGATATGTATAATTTGTAAGATTTCATCGTTTTCTTCAATAGGGTCTTGGACTGTAGTAATAAAATGATGTGATGTTTTGTATAGCGGTAGTTTATGGGGCTAGAATTCATTATTAAAAGGAATAATTAAATAAAAATCGTGATTTTTCTTTATTTTTAACATAACTAATTATTATTTTTAACATCAAAATCACATGACTACAAACGCCAATTACGGTGCGTGACGTCACTTATCATTGTCACTAGTGTCTAATATAGTATTATATGATCTGGGCTAGTTTGTTGTGTGTACAGTGTAGTTTCGAAAACTCAATTCTCTGTAATCTCAAAGTTTTAATCGTTTAAGTAAAATAATATTTAAATTTACTTACCTTCCTGGTCAATACCATGGCGAACAGTTCGATCTGACAACTCAAATTTACCACGTATCGATGTCATGATGGTGGCGGAATTTTTCGCTAAAAATCCTGATTTTATCTCGGCAGAATTCAGAAATATAAAAACTGTCATGTAAGTACTAGGTATTAGACAGATTTAAAGGTATAAAAATCTGATTACTCTTAAAATAATCCAAGGAACCTAAATAATCTCTAAGGATAACATCATAACAAAATACAGATTAATTTCACATAAGGGAACTCAACGATACTGATAATACTTAATTGCACTCATTTTCGATATTCTTGTTTCCTTTTCAATTAATAATTAATCGATCGAGCCACACACCAGCACAGATTACGGAATATAATCGAGCTCCTTACAGTCTACACATGCTCTGTATGATAAGTGACGTCACGCTCGACGATAATTGTTAAAATAGTGGCGTTTTAGCGCCAAATTCAAAAATGAAAAATAATTTTCAATTTTTTAACATAAGAATACAGTAATTTTTGCGGGAAAATATTTTTAGCAGCATTTTATTTATGTAAAAGATAAGCTGAGATACTTTTTGTTCGAGAGATTTTGTCCTTCCCATATTTTATCGATTAATTCGATAATATAGTGACTGTGTCCTTTTTTGCATTTTTATTTGTTTCCTTTGAGTAAATCTTGATAACTTCAATATTTAAAGTACTTTTCTTCCATACTCCATCGATTTGTTCCACCCTGTATATAATCTGCATTACCCGAGTATCAAACATCAAAGATAAAAATAACGTATTATTCATTATTTATTTATGACTCTAATATGCTATTCTGTGATAGGATTGAAACAAAATCCGTACTTATTAATATTATAAATGTGAAAGTTTGTGAGTATGGATGTTTGATATTTTTCACGCCTGAACTTCTGGACGGATCTGAATGAAATTTGATAGAGATAGATTATAGTCTGGAATAACACACTTTTTATCCCGGAAAAATGTACGATTCCCGTGGAATAGGTTTGTTTTTCTTTTTTTTCGTTCCTAGAGACGAACGAATGAACTGCTAGTAAAATATGTGGTATCCATTATACCCCTCTATTGTATTCAACCCTTTTTAACGTCCTACTGCTGGGAACGAGCCTTTCTTCATTACGAGGTGGATCAGACCATATCTTCACATGTCTTTGTGAAGGTTGTGTTCATGAAACTTGATATTAAGTTCTCTCAGATATGCAGGTTTCCTCACGATGTTTTCTTTCACCGTAAGACAAGTGGCAATCATGTTGGAAATGATTCGTACATAAAAATATCAGAAGTGCGAGACCGGTGAAAACATCGTTAGGAAGCCTCTATGTCTGAAAGAACCTAGCAGGTTAAAGTTAAGTTTTGTAAGCCATGTAAAGTCCACCAACCCGCACTTGGCCAGCGTGGTGGACTATGGTCTTATCCCCGTCGTCGTCGTCGTATTTCAATCTAACATATTCCCACCCCCACATTGCAGGACATCCTGATGCTTTGCTGGTCGTACCGGTCGCCGGAGAGGCCGGACTTCTCTCGCCTGCTGCCTCGCCTCGAGAAGCTGCCCCGCAAGCGGCTGGCGCGCTCGCCCTCCCACCCCGTGCACCTCTCGCGCTCCGCCGACTCGGTCTTCTGAGGGCGGCGCCGGACGCGCTGCCTGCACCGCTAGCGCACACACAGATACACATACATACACACACACACGCGTACACGCAACGCTGGATTTACACTAGGGGCACTCGGGGCTAGTGCCCAGGGCGGCAAATTTTTAAAGGGCGGTAAAATTTGGAGGGTGAGAAAAAATTGTCTTCGCGTTATCGAAAATGCTTTTTGTATTTTCAAAAAAAAAGTAATAAAAAAAAATTAAGTACTACATATTTTTTTGAAAAATTGAAATCATTTATAAATTATTTTTATGCATTTTTCAAAAAAAAAACTATCGAAACTTTACCCATTTTATGAAAAATTCAATAATTGGGCGGCATTTTTGACTAAGCCCAGGGACGGCGCTAAGGTTAAATCCTGCACTGCGTACACGTACGCACACGTACACACAAACCCATGTACACACACATATACACATATGACATACGTGCATACGCATACCCACCTTCTTATAACAAAATAAACTACGAAGAGTTTTCAATTCAAATGATAATTGATAATGTTTTCGAATGTCGCTTGAATTCATACTTAGAACACATATAATAAGGAAAGGAGATGCCATTAACAGTGTGTCCGTGTGATGTGACGAGTTAGTGTTTATACATAGTGTAATAAAATTGCAAATATAATTTTTATTTATAATAATACTAGTAATATAGGGAGTGAATGAAGATGTACAAAGATCGGCGTTTTATAAAGTATTTGAGGCCGCTTTATAGTTGTCTGAATTTAATTTGCCTGTGTACAGCTGTTTAGGGCATCTCTACTTTGTATATGTTCCGTGGTTTAATCCTCTGGGCCACATTCCCCAATATCCCCTGTACATCCACCTTATATGGCGTAATAAGTGTCAACATCTTTTGCTAGCAATGTATATTACAAATCCCATCATTTAATTTATCCCCAATTTCCTCTTAAATGCTATGTCCCCTATAAAACTGAGCAAGCTGTGGTTCTAGTCACATCTTATATGCGTAAATAGACCACTCTAATATCCCCATATTGTACAATGGGTATATTAGGGAAATTTAGTCTGAAATCATTAAACCTTTTCTCCCCTACGTCCTCTCTATTTCCAATCATTTACACAACATCGCCTTAAAGCACGGGAAGAATTAAGAATTTTGTCATATATAAGGTATATAGTCTCCTTTTCCATACAGATACAGTCATTAAAAACCCTCAAACGATTGAAATTGTTAATTATCATAAAACAATGTAATATTATAATATTTTTGCGGTCTGTACTCATTGCCAGCGAGTATTAAAGAAAGGCGGCGCAATTCTTAGTCCCAATCTATCTGCTCGATATGTTTGTAATACTAGCAGTACCCGTGGATTCGCCCGCGTTTAAACTTCCGATACAAACATTAGTTTTACGATAATGTGTGGAAGCCTGCCCGATTTCTTGACATTTATGATAACTGCTCCCTCGAGTAGTAAGTAGCATGATTATATATATCATATAGCGTTCGTTAGACGGGCCATTTAATGCAAAAATATTTTTTCTAATCGAATTAGTAGTTCCTGAGATACGCGCGTTCACTCAAACAAATAAACTGTCGCTTTATAATATCACTATAAATGTATATTCATCGGGGGTTTTTCGACTGTATTTGTTGGTAATTAAAAAACGATACGGTAGGTATGTAAACACTAAATGCGCTAGAATATTGAAAACTTTTTTCTTAATTATCTCGTATCACTGTAAAGCTGGCAACATCGATTCGAAATATAAATTATAATGCTTGTTTTTTTTATTACAAAGACTGTAGTCTAGCTACATGTTGAGATAATTTGTTTAATTATTTGGACGAAGTTAAATATTCTATTTCTTTAAAATCTAAAACATAGAACATTAGGAGATTAACATAAAAAAAATGGATAAGTAATAGTACACACGTGAGAATCAAACTAATTTTAAACAACTCCGCGACGCAAAGAAGGGGTAATGTATTTATCGGATTCGTTATTATAATTTACAATTTGAATTTGTTACTATATTATCGTACAGTTTCGATATTTCAAAACGACACACGACTTTGGTAATTTGGAGGACATTTAATGTTTTTGTCATTATTTAAGTTGTTTATTTTTATTTTGGCAACAACATATAATGTTAACGGTCCCGGTTGTATAATACTGACGTTATTTCCGATGTAATCATTTGTATAGCAAATTATTGTAATTTATTATCTGTTTTTCTTATATTATATGATATTTTTAATCCCCCATCAATCAATACATTGTAGACTTAACCGACGACCAATATTCGTTGTTTGATATGCGACAAACGGGTAATTGATATTTAGTGAAATTTATATAATACACTAAAACTACTATTAAATACAATAATGTTCTACATTTACACTTGAAAGCTTTACGTTTTGTTTTCTTTTTTTAAATTATAATTAAAATGTCTTAATACCTGTCAAGCTGTCAATTCTCAGTTACAGATACATTCATTGAGCTGTCAATTATAAATGTAAAATTAAAATAAAATTAAAAAAAATAATAACGCCTAATCTAAAGCAATATATAGTTAGACGAAATAAGATTCCGCATTTGATATTAAAATTAAAATATCTGAAATTTTGATTTTTAAAATATCATTTTGATTTTATTATGTATAATAAAACCCATGTAAATACAACATGAAGCAATCAAATTACATTTATTATAATATTTTCATTTTTAATAATGAACTTTTCTTAGCATTTTTATATATATATATTAATTATAATAAAACTTTTTAAAGCTTTCATTAAAATATTAAAGCTCAAGTGTGAAAGTAGTCATTAATTCTTGATCTCTTGATTTAACGATAGATTAAATTATATTTTCGTATTTAATCGTGAAAGTTGACTGTTGGAAAATGTAAATATTGTATAGTGTTACTGGATTTGCTGTGATGTAATGCATTCTTGTAAATAGTAGTCATTGTCTATGGTAAAATGAAAAAAAAAAACATTCACTATGGTATTAAAGTTAAGGCAGTTAATAGTTATTTATTTCAGCATATATAATACCAGTATTTTCCTACTAGCATAGATTTGTGAATTTTCAACGACACATTTTAATTTATTATTGAATTTTGTTTTAGACAGTAATCGAATTGTATACTTACATTTTCTTTGTCTCATTTTAAGTATGTAAATATTGAGGTTTGAAAATGTTAAAATCGATTTAATTTATATATGTCATCGTAATTCTTTTTGTATATAAATAGCTAAGGGCCATCCATTGAAAATATAAATTAAGAATAATATGTTTGTTAATATTAGTTTGGTTATCGCTATAGAAATGAAACTAAAAATAAATATTTCTATTGGCCTTCTAATCAAAGTAATATTATATGAAATAATTTATTAAAACTTAAATTTGAACCTAATGCAACCATAATAATCACGACTGAATATCATGTAACACCTCCGCGGGCTATGTATATTGTAAGAGTTACTTGCTTGATAAATGTAAATAAAAGAACATTCCTCTGAGAAGCTTTCTTTTAGTAATACATTACTAGAATATGGTCCTAAGAGTTGGAAAATTATAGTATTTCTTTTTTTTCGTTAAATATGTGTAAAAAAACATAATTTTTCATTTCAATACAGTAGAATATTGGTACAATCAATCGGTGATCTCGATTGATCAGCAATATAAATAAGTTTAACATCAATTCCCGTATTTATAACTTCATACAATAACGGACTTTTATAAAAAAAATCATCCTTATTTTAATCCCTTTGGATAGAGTTTTCAATTCATTTTTAGTTTTTTTTTTAAATACTTAGAACGGCTAAGACTGTCTGTCACCAGTCATTGAATGAATTTGAGATTTTTATTATTATTTTTTTTTACTGACCGACCGACCTTCGTGTCTTCTCCATTCTACGTGTCAGTGGCGAAGTTATCTGTGCTCAACTGGCACGCTTTGAAGCCAATAACAAAAGAATTGAATTATTGCAAATTGGCGTACCTAATATCTTTAATAATCATAAAAATATTTTGAAAAATGAATAGTATTAAACAACGATTTTCTAAGTTACTAATAAATCTTGGGAATTAGTTTAATAAAATTGAATAGGTATTTAATAATTATATTTAATCTAAGCTTCATTATATATTAGTGTATGTAAAGTACGAGTATATACACGCCTTAGAGACTTTCGTTAAAAAGCATAAAATGTCGCATTTTTTAAAAAAATTGTTAAAACAATATGTTAATTTCTCTTAGGACAATATTCAATAAGGTATCTCGTATGTTACCATTATGTATATTTCGAAAGAGGCTTGTCGTTAGGTCCGTTTTAGACTGATTTTAAACTGGGCGTCCCCCGGGACTTGATGTGCCACAAATGAATCAGCAAACACGTTATATTAAGAAATTGTACATTTAAAAGTTCAAATCCTTATTACTCATATATTTCTCTAAATGGACTTTATCATCAATCATAGGCTGAGATTCTGAATTAAATTTAAGGTAGACTTAAGTGCTGTCATACATTGTAATTTTTGAACTGAACTGTGGTTTTTATATTTGAAGTGAATAATGATTTTTTTATTTTAAATATTATTATCAATGTAGATATATAACAAATAAAGAGGGTTGATGGCAGGCTGGTCGAAAAACTTTTGCCAAAACCAATAAACAGTATGGAAGTCAGATAGGTATGCTAGTTGGAATGTAGGGACTATGACCGGAAGAGCCAGAGTTAGCGGATGTATTGGAGACGACGAATAAACGTGGCATGTCTGTAAGACACGAATTGGAAAGGAACAAAAGCTAGAGAGATTGGATAGGGATACAATTTTTTTCTATTGAAGTAGTAATGGGAAGAGACAGGACATGAAAGGAAAAGCGGTGAATGATGAGATGACGAGTAATAGGGGAGAGTGGAAGAGGAAGACTTTCTGCGCCGACCCCAAATAACTAACTAAATTTGATCGATCCACGGGTCACTTACGGGAACGCTTCCTGTAGACTCGTAGATCGGGCGAAAAGTCATCGCCTTTTCTATGAATAAAATGTATACTATAATTTGCTTTTTAAAATATCCAATGGTAAAGTTAAAATTGCAATGTATGAAAGCTCGAACAGCTCATTTTGTTATTTTATTGTTTACTTAATAATTATTGCATATAGACGAAATTATTCTGGTCAATGAAGTCCTATTAACGCGATAGTTAGTTGTTGTATAAACGGCGTTGTGCAAATACTGCCACAGTATTTTGTATATAGAGCAAGTGTGGCGTGGCTTGTTCCATTATATTAATATTTATTTCAGCATACAACAACTGTTTATATTGGATTCAATATAGTAATAAAATTCGCAAATTTCATTTCAATTATATCAAGTAACTTATTCAAATGCTTGGTCTTTTAGCATAAAAAAATAAGTTTCTACTTAAGCTATTTTGTTATTTAACTCGGAACTAAACCCAATATAAAGAGTTGTTTCATTATGTACAGAATTGTCAAAACAGTTGTAGTTTTACATATGTATTGAGATTTCTATTGATTAGGTTAGTTGCATTTGCCAAAATAAATCTTCATCACTGTTTCTAGTTGTTTCCTTTCATCCGTTTTGTAATCAGACTGTATTTTTAAAGCTAATAAGAGCCAACTTATTATAATCAAAGGTTATATCTGTTGGTAACCTCCGTTCCTAGACCTAGCAGCAAACAAAATAATAATGACATCACAAAAATATTACTGCATCAAAATACTTATACCCATACCAAAGTAATATAGTAAAAATCTATTTTTTTTTGTTTTAATGAAATAAAAAATCCATTCAAGCCATTATGCTTAAAGAATTGAAAAAGTTAAACTACTTCAATAAATTCATATCACATAAATTAAGAAAGTATTAAAAAAAAGAAATTAAACACTAGTAGTAAAGGATTAATTAATAAATAATAAAAAATAGTACATACACAATATACTTTTTTTATTATTAATATCTTATGATATATGTCCGGCTAAAATAGCAGCTATATTATTACACATACTTTTAATTTCTTTATCATTCAAATATTCAGCACCTAAAATAGCATTTCCAACAGCAATTGTCTCTCTCATGGATTTAGCTTTTATCCATATTCTTCCATTCATGCCTGCTGCTACCTCAAAGGGCCATTCATTCTTTAATGATGGAAGTAATGGACAATTTGGATTTAAAATCTTTCTAATAAGATTTAATGAACATTTGAATAAAAATCCGTCACTCAAGACACCTAATCGACCCTTCTTTCCGTGTGAATCGACACATACTAGTTCAGGCTCCATGTCTTTGCTCGCTACTAACATTTTAGCATACACCACATCTCCAACCTCTACTTCAGGCCTGTTCTTTTTTGTTGCTCCTTCAAAAGATAAGTATGATAAGGCAGCCGTAATACTTCCTCCAACATCAACGCGAAATATATCTCCTGCTTTTTGGACTACGACACCTATAACATTTTCTCCTCTAGATGGAACATAACGTTTCTGGTAGCTATCTACCCAATATGTACCAGGATTTCGTTTCTTTAAAACACCAGCTTTTGTAATGTAAACTCGGTCAACTTCTTTTCTTAACCCTGGTCCAATAATTACTTTTGATTTTTCACCAGCTTCAGTAATATCCTCACAATAATCACCCGGTAGGACGACGTCGTTGATAGATACCTTCATTTTTATAGTTTTTGCATGTTTTAATTGAAAACAAATATAGAATTATTTAGTACCTAATGCTTCTGCTTCACGCATTTACTTTATATATGTAGCAATATACTCTATGGCATTTACCATGTTTTTCAAATTTTACTGTCAATCATGGATGACAAATAAACTGTCAATTGTCAGTTGTCACTTCACTTAAGAGTTTTGATTTCTGAAGTTTTCCACAGGCTATACATGAATTTTAAATAAAGTAATATTTTATTTCATGGCAATATCGCAATAATTTACTTAGTCAATAACATGGATGACAAATAAAACTCTATGAATGCCACGAAGAGTGAAAAAGACACGATGAAGATATTATCATATTCACTGTATTCGCTGTGTTAGATTTATTCTTCATCTATGTTTCAGATGAAGAATAAACCTAACGACGTATCAATCAAATGTTCAATTGGCTTAGCCGTGAAGGAGCTATGAGGAAATATAGAATCATCAAATGTACATACATATTCACAGATCAAAAAAAAGTGACATAGCAATCACGGTGACAGAAGTCACGCATGCGCACATTTTAATTAGTAACAGTGACATTGACATATTATGACATTTGATTCAAGGTCCACGACCACACGTGTTTACTTGAATATTAATAATTTCTTTAATGAATTAGAAATTAAAAATGCCAGCTACTGTTCACAATGATGTACTACTTTATAAAGGCAGTAATTTATTTCGACAAAGGCTGCTACTATCGACGTTAAGTGGTCGCTCGATAAAGATAGAAGAAATTCGTAGTTCACACGATGATCCTGGCCTTAAAGAACATGAAGTAAACTTAATACGTTTATTAGACAAGATAACGAATGGTACCAGAGTTGAGTTAAGTGAAACAGGCACATGTTTATACTTTCAACCTGGAATTTTAATTGGTGGTCATGTTACTCATACTTGTTGCACTCAGCGAGGAATAGGTCAGTTTAATATTGTAAAACAAAATTTTCAAAAAGTAATTTTTTACCTACTATTAGAATTTAATTTTTATAAACATTCAATGGCATAAAACAGGCAAATATGCCTAAGTGCGGAAAAAGCAGTGCCACAAGAAGAAGAAGAAACATTCAATGTTAAAATTATAATACAAGTTATAAATATTAATCTATATGGTACTATTTCAGGTTATTATTTAGAAGTACTCCTTGCATTGGGACCATTCTGCAAAGAACCATTAAATGCAGTATTACAAGGTGTCACACATCATGAGTTGGATGTGTCTGTAGATAAAATAAAGAGTACAGCCCTGCCTATTCTTTTGAAATTCATCCTTGTTGATGATGGTTTGGAACTCAAAGTTGTAAGGAGAGGTAAGGTTTATATGATAAGTAATTTTTTTTATATAAGTTACTAGTGATATATAGCTATAGCTTGATTCCCCATACAATCTTTCATCCCCATTTTCACTCCTTTAAGGGATGGTTTTCGGGATAAAAAGTATCCTATATCCTTCCCAGGGTCTCAAACTATCTTCTTACCAAATTTCATCTAAATCGGTTTAGTAGATTCAGAGATTACCCCCTACAACTTCAGAAACTCACAAACTACCTCTTTATAATATTAGTATAGATGACTAATTTTTATATTTTTAGGTGCTCCACCACTCGGTGGAGGTGAGGTAGTATTCAAATGTCCAGTAAAAAGACATTTACGCCCTTTACAATGGAGACAGTGGGGTCTAGTGAAGAGGATCCGTGGAGTTGTATATGCGCTGCGAGTGTCGCCTACCATGGCTAATAGGGTTGTGGAATCTGCTAAAGGGGTAATTTAATAATTACAATTAGTTTTTTAATTAGTAGTTTGTTCATTTTTGTCTATTTATACTTATTTGTTCTTGTTCAATTTTCATTTTTTTGTTCAAATTCACTGAATTATAATAAAGTTAGTATAGAAATGGTAATTATGTAAATAGTTTTTCAGCTATTAATGAGTACATTTAATAATACTATGATACTTTAGGACAGAAAATTTCAATTTGTATTAGACAACCTCATATTTATTTAGCTAACGAATGTGTATTAAATGTAATCTTGCAATTTTACAGGTTATGCTGAATTTTTTACCAGATGTGTACATAAATACAGATCAATGTCGTGGCCCCAACGCTGGGAAGAGTCCAGGGTTTGGCATCAGTCTTATTGCTGAAACAAATGAAAAAACTTTCTACTGTGCTGAGGCTGTAAGTTTTCAACCTATTATTATTATGCTAAAAACTTTTTATCATATGTTATACAGGCACACAGAGATCAAAGAATCTAAAATAAAAATAAAAAAAATGTATTCTCTGAATAAATGCCATTTTATTTAATTTTTTTTTTTATAATTAAATTATAAATAATAAATTATAAAAAATAAATTTAACTAGTTTCTGAGATATTAACAGTCAGTGTGTGGGAACGTACCCAGTTTAAGGCTAAGTTTATGCCAAGTTGTGCCATATGCTCAAGATCGGACCAGGTATCTGCAACAAAAGTTATAGCGGTGTCGTCAGCATATGATACAACTTTAGCATTTGGGATTATAAGATTACATAAATCGTTGATAAAAACTAGAAATAGGGTGGGACCTAGTATGCTTCCTTGTGGGACCCCGTAATGGATGGGAAGCTCATCACTATTATGGTTATCGATCCTGACTATCTGCGAACGGTTTGTGAGGTAATTCTGAAGTAGATCCAATTGTAACCTCCTGACACCTAGTTTTTCAAGTTTGAGCATAAGAGTGGTGACGGGAATGATGTCGAATGTCTTCGTGAGATCTAAAAATACAGTAAGAACCTTTTTGTTTGAAAACAAAAAGGTTCTCACTGTAAAAATCAGTCAAATTTAGAATAGCGTCATTTGTTGATTTATTTTTGCGAAAGCCAAACTGTTGTCGTGATATTAAGTTAAAATGTTCGAGATAGTGTGATAATAGTCTTTTATTAATTAATCGTTCGAGTACCTTCGATAAGGCACTCAGAACTGCTATCGGTCGGTAATTATTTAGAAGGCTTCTGTCCCTTGAAGATTGGATGAATGATTGCTTTTTTAAGTGAAGTAGGAAAGACAGCAGTCTCAAAGCAGAGATTAAATATGTGACTTAAGACAGGTGCCAGAGTGGTTCGGGTGGTACCGGAGAAATCCGGCGCGGACCAAATGGCTTGGATGGGGCCGCTCGTCTAGGCCTCGAGCTGAAGACGTTGCGGCCACCGGTGGTGGGACCGCTTGGTCCCACAACCGGATGATGGGTGCCGGTTGCGGGACTGTGGTCGCAGGCCCGCATCCGGCGGAGGGGTAGGCCGCGGCGGGAGAGGAGTGCCGGTATTTCGGTGCGCCGTTCTCCCTACCTTCCGCGGCCTAGACGGGGCCGCCACCGTTTGATGGCGGACGCGGTGGGGCTGCAGGGGAAGAGGAGTGTCGGTGTTTCGTTGCCGCTCTCCCTGTCCTCTGCAGCCGATTGGAGGTGGCCCACTTCGGTGGGCGGTGTTTTGGTTTTATGGGGCTGCTCCGGGTACCTCTCTGACGTAGCAGAGTTGACTGTGGAGCAGCCCCATTGGTTTGGTGGTCTGCCTAGTATTTAGGCAGACCTGCCGCCGGGGCGCCGTAGTAGTTATGCGCAAGCGATCCTGCGGCGTCCCACTAAGGCGGGGGGAAGGGATGTCGGGTTTTAGTGGGTAGTACCGGCTCTTCTAGCCGGTGAGCCCCACATCACCACCTGGGGGATCAGGTGGTATGCGTAAATGCATTTCCCGACGATAAAAAAAAAAAAAGGTGCCAGAGTGGTTGAGTATTTCTTTAGGAATGAGGGTGATATGCCATCCCAGCCAGTAGCAGGACTTGATCGTAAGGAATTTATAACTAATAATCTTATTAGAATCTGTTCCGGTCAAGGACCAAGGACAAGATGTTAATGGTGTATCATTTGAGTTGTGTAGGCCGTTTGATGTGTTGTGCGGATAGTTTTTGCACTTGTTAATTATATTATTTTCTAGTTTCTCGCCAATGTTTACAAAATATGAATTTACTATATTACACGACTCAGTTGGTGAAGGAGACAATGTTAGTAGTGGTGTTGGGGAGTTTTTAGTTTTATAGTGTTTTTGGGTTTGCTTGCCTTACTAATTTCTTGTGTGTCATAAGCTCTTTTCGCTTTCTTTAGAATAATAGTACAAAAGTTTCTATATCTCTTGTAGGTGATTTTTAACACTTCATTATCTGGAAACTTATTTACCTTCCTATGTAAGGCGTCTCTATTTCTTATACACCTTAATAAACTGGGAGTGATCCAGGGTTTAAGAATTTTCTTTTGATGGAACTCTTTTAGTTGTCGAATTTTTGGAAATTGCGGTAGTAACCAATTGTATGAGCTTATCCATAATTATATTTGCGTCCTTTAAGAGGACAAGATGGTTAAAATCCAATTGTAACATTGATTTGTCAAGTCCTTCATTGTCTATTTTAGTAATTATTGAAGCAGTCGACGTTCGCGTATATTTTTTGTGAATGCAGAGTAGCGTGGAACAGTGATCAGTTACCGTCGTTTTATAGACAAATGTATAGGTCGGAAGCTTAGTTCTTAGAATTTTGTGATCCAAGCAGTTTCCACCCCTTGGAAGGTTATGTGCAGGTAAGTAGCCGTGAAAGGCAAGACAGTTCAGATATTCATGAAAGCTTATGTCAAGTGAAGTTAGCTTAATGCCAATGTTTATATCTCTTGTTATGACAACCGTTTTGAAGTTACTTAATGAAGAAAGAATGTTATTAAAAGCTAACAGAAAATTATTTGTATTGTCTATTGATGGTGAGCGATAAATGCGCAAGATTGCCATTTCAAAGCTAACCTTTATTATAAGGCCAGAGGCGGATTGATTAAAGTCAGGTTCTTCGTTTTAGCTATTAGGTTAGATTTTAAGTATACAACTACAGCTATTAGGTTAGATTTTAAGTATACAACGACACCATCACTTTGATTTATATGTTTGGTAGTCTTGAATATTGTATAGTCTTGCAAAATCGGTATATAAGAGTTACTTAAGCATGGCAACCAACATTCAGTTAAGACGATAAGATCACAATCGACGGTAATACGGTGTAAGAGAGTTTGCAGACTTAGGGAGTTACAGCTGATAGATCGAATGTTATGTAATAGTATTTACAGTTATTTGGTTGGTGTATTATTTTATGAGTCTCTTCTGGCAAGCATGTGTTAGTTATAGATATAGAATAGTCAGTCATTGTTTCGTGTTTGAATCGGTAGAGCGGAATGATGAATAAAGTTTGTTTTATTTGTGTTTAATTTGTAGTTTATTTGAAAAGCGCAAGGACGTAAGCAATTAATAATAGAAAATGCGAGATTCACTGTAATGTTTGTATAAACGTAGCAATATTGTTGTGTGTATGATGAATAATATCTGTTATAGTGTGGCGGTGAATGGTGTTTATATGTAGTGATTTGCATGTTGAAAGTGTGTGTGATAATCTTAGGTGTGTGTAAAAGTATGTTAAAATAACTTAGAATAACTAAATTTGGTTGCGCCATTTTGCAATATGCATTTGTGATGGGATAAACCGCGTGAGTGCGCTGATGCACTCACCCCAGTCGTCGTTACACCGTGTAGCAATTAACACGGCTTCCGCATAATTAATTATCATCCCGCACCGCGCGCGCGCAGGTTGACCGCGCCTATACGCTTTATAAACTTTTTATTTACTGTGTACATACTATACGAACTTTAAGTGCTCTGTGCCAATTTACATGGAAACGGAGATAGGAGTTGCAGCAGAAGGTGAGTCCCGGAACTTTTGTTTTTGCATGTGGTGTGTCCATCATCGGCAGGGAATCCCTTCTCAGGAAATAATACGCCTCCCGCAACTAAATACAGTCCACTTGCTCCACCATAAAGGTTTGAGGCGTTGTTCGGTAATGTAAATAGGTGTTACCTGTGCCGTTGCTATGTTTAGGTGAGTAGAGTTCACTTTATCTTTGGCATTTTGTTTGTTGAATTCTTTTACAGCAGTCAGAAACTTCGTTTTTATTAGTGTGTTTGAGAACTCAACTGTTAAACTTGAAGTGGTGTTTTCTTTCTTAGAAGGCTATCTTATAATGTCACGAATAGTGATAGGTTCAGTTTCAGTACCTAAATGATGAGATAGATGAAAGATTATATCATATAACATACTCTTTGTTTCATTGACTCTCTTGGGTACATTATGGAGTGTGACAGAGGTTTTAATAAAATTGCGTTCAAAGGATTCCACCTTTTCTTCCAGCGTGGATAATTTAGTTGACATGGAGCTACACTCTTTTTCAAGACTAGTCATTTTGAGTTCGAGGCATAGTAATTGGTCCGACACAGTTGTCATTGATTTTTCAAGTTCAATGTTAGTAGACTTTATTTCGGTATAGTGTTTTTTTATTTCCATGATATGGCTTTCTAGTTTATCTAGTCGGGAATTTTCTAGTCGGGTGATAATCATTTCAGATATCATTTTCTTGATCTCATTTTTTTAAATGTTCATGTCGTCCTGCATAACCTCTTCGGATAAGCAGCTGCGCTTGACTCCTTTTGGTAATATTTCCTTGAAAGTCTTCATCTGCATGTAGCTTCCGAAGGTCGGTTTCCGATCGTGATGGATGTTGATTTGGGGGAGTCTTAGGTGGTGTCTTAAATACTTTCTTAGATTTACGCGAATGTTTGACATTTTACAATTAAATAAAACTATCTTTTCGGATTATTTCGCGAAATAATCCGAAAACATGGTGTCTTAACATATTGTTATTTATGTTTTCTTTATTTAAATTTAATTATTTAAGCCATATACTAAAATTTTGCAGTTAAGTACGCTGTCGTTATTGCAGTAAATTATAACAGGCATCGAGTTTGTGACTAACCTTGCGCAATCGGCACACGTAATTGATTAGGCTCCGCCCACTTACTCCGTCTCAGCTGTTGCTATCTTCTTTGCTCCATCACCCCGCGACCACTATTGCTTTATGTGCGCCTAGTACTTCATCGTAGCAATTATGATATTTGTTGTCAAAAAATACTATTTAATTTTAATAATCTATATCTTTATATATATAATTCTTCTGTGAGTGTGTATGTCACTGAACTTCTCTCAAACGACTGGACCGATTTTGATGAAATTTTTTGTGTGTGTTCAAGGGGATCTGGGAATGGTTTAGATTCACAATTTGAATAATAATTTTCATCAAAAAAATTATTAAAAAAGTTTGAAATTTTCAAATTAAAGACGTGTAGACAGGACAACGTCTGTCGGGTCCGCTAGTATATAATAAAATTGTAACTAAGTCGAATCTGTACATTAAATATTTTTTAGAAAATCTAATTGAAATAGACACTATTATCGATACAGAGGCCGAATCTATAGTTTTTAGAATTTTTGTCTGTCTGTCTGTCTGTCTGTCTTCTGTCTGTCTGTCTTCTGTCTGTCTGTCTTCTGTCTGTCTGTCTTCTGTCTGTCTGTCTGTCTGTCTGTCTGTCTGTTACCGCATCACGAGAAAACCACTGGACAGATTTTGATGAAATTTGGTATTATGATAGCTGGTTATCCGGGTCAAAAAATATAGGATACTTTTTACCGCGGGAAAATATCTCATTTCTGAGAAAAAGTACAAAAACTTCATTGTAAGAGTAGTACTAATATGTATTAACTGCCTCGGTGGTGTAGTGGCTAGCATGTACGGCTGCACACCCGGAGGTCCTGGGTTCGAGTCCCGGGTCGGGCCAAGTTTAGTTATTGAGTCTTCCTGTATAGTAAGTCTCAGTAACAGCCCGGAGTTGGGAAGTTGGCGGTGTTTCACCCCCGTGCCTCGGAGAGCACGTAAAGCCGTCGGTCCTGCGCCTTAACTCTCACCGGTCGTGTCGAGTGGTCGTCCCACCGGAGTATGGGAGTGATAGGAATAGAGAGTGCACTTGTGTCTGCGCGTACACTTGAGCACTATAATATCTCCTGCGCAGTTGGCTAATCTCATTGAGATTGGCCGCCGTGGCCGGAATCGGCTAGGAGAACATCATCATCATCACTAATATGTAAAGCCTAAGAATTTGGTTTTTGGTCATCTGAACGCGGGCGGAGCCGCGGGCAATGCTAGTTCAAAACTAAAAATAAAAACTTGTACAGGATGCACGTCTAAACGCTTTCGCGGTCCGAAGGGCAAGAGGAAATAATAATCACATATAAATAAATTATTATTGATAAACCAAACAGCCCATAAATAAATATGTTCATGAAATTATTGTGATTGGGCGAAGCCATTAACAATTAAAAAAAAGTTAAAACTTTTGTACAACTCACACTTAGGACTCTGTACACTGTAGTGTAGTAAACTGCTTAAAATCTATAGTTTTCGTGAGTGGTGTTTTTTTAATTTGTTGTATTTAATATTTTTCAGAAATCAGCTGAAGTTGGCACTGGGGGAATAATACTGCCAGAAGACTTGGGCCGTGAATGTGCATTAAACCTCTTAGATGAAATACATCGTGGAGGTGCAGTGGATTCTGCATTTCAGTGGATTTTAGCTTTGTGGATGGCGCTCGGACAGAAAGACGTTAGTGAATGTATTGTAAGTATATTAATATATTTTTTTTATTATTCACAAATCGTTTGTTATTCATTTTTATAAAATATTTAAGTTGTAATATTTATTTAGCAGTTAATTATTATGAACAGTTATTTATTGTGGTATCCAAACACAAAAATAGGCTAATTCAAAATTTGTTCCTAAATAGGTTCTATAGAGTTGACACTATAACTAAAGCATTCCATCAATAATTAAATATTTTTGAGTTAGGTACACATTTTCTTACATGTCTCTCTCTATACAACGATCTCATGTATTTAAAAAAATATATTTTATGACTAACATAATATAACACAATATTTTTTTATAGGTGGGGCCACTCTCTGAATATACCATTAAGTTCCTCCAACACCTTAAAGAGTTCTTTGGAGTGATGTTCAAATTAGAAGTTCTAAGGTCCGATGATGATGATGAAGAATATTCAGACAATGAAGATAAGTTATCATCCGCACAGAAAATTAAAATGACATGCGTCGGCATCGGCTACGTTAATATTAGCAAAAGAACTTTATAAATAAAATAATATTTAAAATCCATAGTTTTATATTTATACGAAATCTCCAAAGAAAAATGCTCCATAGCAGTTAATCTCATGCCGTCGTAATATACATGTATTCAGCCCTTTTTAACGTCCCACTGCTGGGCACGGGCCTCCCTTCAATACGAGGGGGATCAGGCCATAGTCCACCACGCTGGCCAAGTGCGGGTTGGCGGACTTCACATGTCTTTCGAAAACTTGCTAAGTTCTCTCAGACATGCAGGTTTCCTCACGATGTTTTCCTTCACCGTAAGGCAAGTGGTAATCATGTTAGAAATGATTCGCACATGAAAATATCAGAGGTGCGAGACCCGGGATTTGAACCCGCTTCACTCGGTTTCCCAAGCGAGAGCGTTACCACTGGGCTACCACTGCCGTTACATATATATACATACAAGTATATAATATACAAGTATACCATATTGGCCAAATAATATTTAAAACTGTTATTCAATTAAAATATGATAACAGGTTTTAGTTTAGTTTATAATATAAATTTTATGAAAATGTTGAATATTTGACTGTTTATTATATATTTTTTAATCATAAATTATATACCTAGCAATAATTTCAACTAATATTTAAAATAATATTTCTAAAGGAAAAAATCAGGAGTTTTAAATCACGTGATAAATAAAATGCAATGTATATTGTATTTTTTTATTTTCATATTTCCTAGTCACGTAGTATTAACTTAATCCTAAGAATTGTAAAATAATTAAGGCACATTTTGGAGCTACATTTTTTTTCTATAAAAAACTGAAAAAATAAAATAAAAAATATCTACGTTGGAATAGTTTTGTGACAAAATAACGCGTACATCTATATATATAAAAGAAAGTCGTGTTAGTTACTTCGCTTATAACTCAAGAACGGCTGAACCGATTTAGCTGAAAATTGGCAGGGAGGTAGTTTAGAGCCAGGAGAAGGACATAGGATACTTTTTATCCCGTTCGACCGCGTTCCAATTTTTATGATATTTTAATTTTTGGATTTCTCTTAGTCCGGAATAGGTAAGTATTAAAACATATAATTAAAATGTGAGAAAGAAAGATTTTTTCTTTTTATATCTATTTAAAACGTACCTAGCGACGAACCCGAGCGAAGCGAGGGTGAGCCGCTAGTTGTAGATAAAAATATATAATTATTTTTTATAGAAATTAAAAAAGTATAAAAGTGGCAGTGATTGATAAGATCTATGAATCATTCAAGATCAAGAATATACAAAAACAGGGCTTTCAAAATTTCATTATATAAATAAGAATATTTATAAATACAACAGCTAATTGTGTAAAAATAAAATAATGTAAATTTAGCCCTCCCTTTGTATATTCAATATGAAGTGAGTATTCTAGTGATGTTCCTCTATGCTAATTGCTATCATTATTTCACTAAGATCTTTGCGATGTCACAGACAACAGGGGTTGCCATAAAACATATTTATAATGACATAATTTATATTGAGTAACATATATAATTAACTTATTTCGATAATAAAGTCGGATATGAACCTGATTCGAACCCGCGTTTAACATTGACTCACGGGTAAAATATAAACGAATTCACAAAATCGACTAATTATGCACACCTGAATGTCAACATTGCGTTGGCAACGATTTAGTAAATAAAAGAATCACATGTACAAACATATGTCAGTGTTGCCAACACAAGAACGCTTTGGCGTGTATGTACTATGAGTTATGCATAGACCTAGAGAATGAACTGAGCAATACTGTCATGAAAATGACCACTCTCTAGAAAGAGAGAAAGCGAACGTGTGGCCAATACCTGTTTAAAATAAATGGAATTCAGAAAAATATACTATTATTGATTACTATTTTATTGAAATGTAAAATAGTTATAAATACCTTCATTAATCCTATTTCAATTGATACAGAAGACTTCTTTCCACACATTCGTTTTGTCTCTGACGCGCCTTTCCGCTATTTTTAGCTGACAGATGGCAAAGTCAAAGAAACACTCAGTCCACCCTCTATCTCTATAGTGTTATGGTGAATATCACACATCCTTCTCATTGCATCCCAATCCCGCGGACCAGTTGCACATGCCTCCCACGGGATCAAAGGACAGTCCCTTGGGACAGATGTACTCCCAGCCGCGCACGGCGCCGCTCTCCACGCGGGCGCACGATATGAACTTCTTGCACGAGGTTGGGTGCGGGAAGTTGCCGATGTCGAGACACTCGATGTTGCCTATTTATTTCAAAATATTGAATCTCATTACTCGATTCCTAAATAGTTAAAGAGAGAGGGAAAGTTTCTGTGTATGAGAAAGACAAACAAACAGACATGCTCATAATACATAATTTGGTATAAAAAATATTTTTTTTATACAATTTTACTAAGGTATTTATATCGTATTGACTGTTAAAAATTATAACTAAAATTATTTCAATAAAAAATATATGTCCAGATATTATGAGTAAATTTAATTCATAATTGGAAAAGTACGTAACATAAATGATGTAAACTAACCTTTATCATGAAGAACAACTTTCGTCCTTGTTTCATAGTTAGCCGCCACCTTTTCTTCACTATCATCGTAATAATCGTACTCAGATATAGGTCTTACGGGCGCGATCACCTGCGGTTGGACCCTTTGTACTGCGGGCTTTTGAAACTTAATTTTCTGAATTGGCCTTTTCTGAGCGGTTCCTTTTTGTACTGGTTCCTTTGAAATTACCTCTTTCTGAACGGTTTCTTTCTCAACAATATCTTTTAGAGCGGTTTCTGTCTGAACGGGATTCTTTAGAATTTTCTCGAAAGGTTTCCTTGTGGTTCTTCGTGGTTTTTGTGTGGTTTGCGGAAGTACTGAGGCGGGGGACTGTGTGCTGGATATTCTGCGATAGATAGTTTTTCTGACAAGTGCTTTTCTTGTCGATGATTGTGGCGTCGTCCCCGGTGACAGGTATTGAAATTCATCTGAAACAATTTTTTTTGAAAAGTAATTCTTACAAAAAGTATGTACTCAACGTGTCTATATAATCAGTACCTAGTAAATTAATCATTAGTAATTATGTAAAAGCTGGTTCGATCGCGGTTATCCATAATCTGTAAAGCTCTGACTTTATGTTTTATATAATATAAAGAATAAATTAATATATTTATAAAGTTTGCGTATATCATACAAAAAAGGCCGTGGTAGCCCTGTGTAACGCGCTCGCTCGGATAGCCGAGTGAAGCGGGTTCAAATCCCGGGTCTCGCACCTCTGATATTTTCATGTGTGAATCATTTTTCAACATGAGTACCACTTGTCTTACGGTGAAGGAAAACATCGTGAGGAAACCTACATGTCTGATATAATTTAACAAGTTGTTGAAAGGCATGCTCAGCTCGGCTATCCCTCACTTGGCCAGCGTGGTGGACTATGGCCTGATCCCCCTCGTATAGAAGGAAGACCCGTGCCCAGAAAAGGTACGTTAAAAAGGGCTGAATACATATCATACAAAAAGAAGGTAATGTAGTAATGTATAACGATAAAAAATTGCGCAGGCGATGGCAGTTGCTAACTACTATATGTATGTACCTACGTTAAAAAATACAAAACGTAGATTTTTTTTAAACAAATGGCTTTGACAAGATTTTATATTACAGTCTTAAGAAATATATTTTTTTAAATCGTATAGAAATAACAAAAATCCTCATCCTATAATATATCATTCTTATAAAAAATTCTTTAAAAATTAAATTTCTATTTTCGAAAGTGATTCGGTAAAAATAAACGAACAAAAACAATTCCATTCAAATTCAAAGAGTAAAGCGCAGTTCAAAAATTACTTATATAAGGCGGTTATCAGAGCGAAGAGATGCAGATTTAACTAAATGCATCGCTTGCATTATGTAAATTGCTTTAAAATTATAATATTATCAATATTTGAATCTTTTTATGGACGTATGAGTGTTCATTGCATAAGCTTAGCTCTCGCTATACAAAATACCAATAAAAAAATGTTTTATTTTTTTATTTTAATGTCATGTTTAATAAAATTTTCGTATTTAATTAAATAATATAAAGTAAATGTATTTTGAGAACTAAACTTTGTTTGTTTCCAATATATGCTTCTAGCTGATAGATTAAATAGCAATCTTAAATTTCTATCGAAAAAACACAGAGAATATTATATAAACGGTTGAATTCGTTAGTAATTTTATTTTGATAAACTCTCAATTTTAGTTTAAAAATAAATTCTAATGATATATCAAAATAGTAATTATTCCACTTTTCATGTGGAATTTGAAGATTCTATAGGACTGTCCTTGAAGTATTACAAAAGTATTAAAATAAAGAAAGTCCTTATCGCAGTTAGCGATGATATCGCGTAACGTACACACAAAAAAAATTGAAATTGAACTACCGTTCCTTTTCTAAAACCGGTCAAAAATATAATAAAGAGTTAAATCTTACCGTCATAGCCTTTAGTGAGAGACGGCTCCAATAAGTATTCCCTGGTGAAGTACGAAGGCTCTTGCAAGCCTTGTCCACCGACCGAATACCCCAAGACTACTGGTACCGGAATCTTCTCGCTAGAACCCTCGTATCTAGCTGTAGATGGACCCAATTCTGGCCTACCCGTCGTTTTTATATCATAATCTATATTAACTAAATTTGGGGAAAACCCTGAAGGTCGGGAAACTTTTCTGGTGAAGCCTGTAGGATAAGTTGGGGATACGTCGCGAATTGGTACTGTCAGTTTCAGTGTAGACTCGTTTAAGTCAGATATGCCTGATGTTGTAGGGTTTATTTTGTTTGTAGATAAACTAGGTCTCGACACGCGGGACTCGTAACTTTCAGTCGTGAATTGGGTAGGTTCTGTCGGGTTGTAGCGAGCTGTTGATTCTGAGTTTTCTGACCTTAGACTGAGGGTCACTCCGGATAGAGTTGGGTTTAGACTTGAATCGATTGGTTTAGAAAATCTGCTTGTGAACGATGATGCGGTGAAAGTGCTTTCGGAAGATATTGTTGGAGTGTCGGTATCTGTTAATGGAGACGCGTAGTTGATGGTAGAAGTTTCCACCAACTTTTGCCTGGTCGTGTAACTTGGTCGTGTGTAATCTTCTGTATACACCGGAGTTCTAGAATAATCTTCTGTGTACGCCGGGTTGGTAAATTTAAAGTCAACTATTGTTTTTGGTGTTTTCCTTGTGGTGTAAAAGTCTTCGTCGTAGTCGGGAATTATAGGTATCGGAGCGGAAATGAGTTGGTGTGCGGCTAACGCTACTGCGGTTTCTGCGCTGATATCTGTAGGAGAAAATATGTGTATTATTATGAATTAGATTATTAAATGTAGTTTCTAACGATTTTTTAATAGTTTAATAGTTTGTTTCAATTCGTTTACTATAAACATGTTGTTTTCACTTAGTAGACTTAAAAATATGCAATAATCTTAAATAAAACCGCATTTACATCAGAGTTTTTTGCCTCGACGATACGAATATCGAGAAAATTTTAAAAAAGTTGTGCTACATAAACTGTTTTAATGAGAAATTCTCTGTATAATATAGTTAAATAAAAGATTAGAAACATAAATAAAATATCAATAAGTTACGTTTCTATAAACGTTACGTAAATTGGCATCGAATGAGACTCGAAAGCGGCATTTCCATAGAATAACTTACCATCTGAAGTAGTTTTTCCTTCCGTAGTAATATCCAACTCTTCAGCACTCGCTCTGAACTTTAATATTTCGTCCAATTGATTTTGTCTAAAGCTAGCACTATATTTTTTACTTTGACGTTTCTTTTCTTCTTCATTCGTCGCGGCTGGGTTTTGGTCTTCTGCTTTTAGTTGTACGAGAGGACGTCGTCTCTGAAGGTTGACTGTTGTTCGTGGTGAAGTGCTTGGTCTAAGAGAAGGATCTTCTATTGCGTCTATAGGAAAAAATATATGTTTAAAGGAAGTACTTTAAAAACTAAAAAAAATATAATTATTTCAAAAGACCCCTCTATTAGGACTATAAAGGGGGTTAAATATACAGTTGTATATATTATTCGAAATTTGGTCAAGTTGTAGAAGAAATAATACATACCAATATCTCCGATATCCTGTAATGATTCTTCACTCTCAATGAGTGCAGTGGTGGGTTTAGCGGTCGTAGTAGTCGTGGTGGAAATAGGGCGACGACGACTGGCAATTCTGAATGGGCGACGTGAAGGAAGTGGTATTTGAGTTGAGCTTGCTGGCTTGGGTGTTGTTGCTGTTAAAATTAAAATGCTATTATTTAAATGAAACATATATGATACATAAGCTACTGTTAGGTACTTAGAGCAGTCAAGCAAAGCGAGTAAGATCGAAAAGAAAGAGAAGAAGAGAGCAGTCGCTAGTATGTTACTGAAACCATGATTTATTTGTACAGTCATTATGATTTTAACGCCTTGTACTTCCTATAATATTCAATCGCTTTTAATGAATATTTTTTTTATAATATTATTATCAAATGCGCTTATAATTTTTCGCAAATTCACTTTCCTTTGCTAGTTAAATGGGTTAGTGATACTCCCAAAAAGGCATTGTTTCGCGATCACAGACCGATAAATTGCCGGATGTTCGTCTCAGAACATCTGAACAGAATCGTCTACATATAATTGCATTTGTTAAGGAAAGGTTAAATGGGCCCTCAAACAATCGGGCGCTAAACAATGGATGTTTTGGCAGATAACATGGCCCGCTGTGAAACATGTTATAAAACTCTATTATTTAGGTATATTTGACCTATTCGACATTATCGGTTGTTGTCAAACTCTATCAAATTTTTGTATATTTGTATGATCAAGGCAAAATTAGGTAAAAAATAGAATCTTAGTTAAAATTGCGCTAAGTTTTGATTAGAACAAAAATTTTGATTGGACAAAAATATAGAGCTATTGTGTCTCCATAGATATTATCTCACATTGATTGAGCAAATATCTACAAAGGTACTATGAAGCAATAAACTTTAGCCATAAAGCATTGATTAATTTGCTCCCATTTCTTCCATCGATACATTTCACAACGAATGTAGAGTAAAACGCCGCTGTTAAATAATTATACTTGGTAAAAATAGTTGTTCTGTATGAAACATGTTTGTAATTTTTTGCACTTACAGATGTAACGCGACAAGTTTTATAATATCTTGTTTAAATTAAAGAGAAACTACAAAACATGATTATATTTTTTGTAGTGAAAGTTGTTAAAGTAAATAAATATGTTAAAAATTTCTATATTTTATACAATATATTAATGGTAAGTTTTTGCTGATAAATTAGGGCCTTATATTGTTTTTACTGAAATAATAGCGATTGAAACTACTAGCGCGAATCCGGTTCACACTTGGCCAGTTTTTAATAATTTTCCTTAGAATCTTAATATTGTAAGGTACTTTGGCTAGTTTTTATTAATTGTCCTTAGAATTTTAATAATAAACATAAACATCAAACATAATTTGTATTATATTTCACTTACATTATGTAAAAACGATTTTGCGATAGATCCTTAAAAACCACGTTTTATTTTGTGATAATAAAAATAATTATTATATAATACAAAAAATAACTAAAATAATTTTGAGGAAAATAATTGTTTTAGAAATATTTAAACAGGTTACCGATTGGAGCGCTATAATAATCAGAAATGAAACATAAAATATGCTGTTTACATACATACGTTTTCCATTGATTATTATTTTAAAGTTACATATATTAAACAAAGATTACTTAACAGTTGTAATAAAATATTATATAATGCAGTTAATGACGTAAGTTAATGTGGGAAGTTAAGCCGAGTCTGAACCATCTATTGTCAAGCAAAAAGTGTGCGTCTAAACTAGTCTTTAGTGTATTCTTGTTAAAATATAACTAATTTTTGTGACTCACGTGACGTTGTATCTATTATTAGATAAGATACATGCACTATGTAAAATAAAAAAAAACTTAAATATTTTGCATTTTCTTCATATTTTACATGAATTTTTACTTTTTAAACGAATATATTAAGTTCAAATTAAGAAATAAAAACATTAGTTTATTTAGTACCTACCGACAAAATATGTTATATGTAATGACTAATGATATAATTTTTTAACACCCCTATTCTTCATTTAACTTTAATTTTCTAGTCTTCTGCTATCTTATATAAACAAAAAATGTTTTTATTTATCAATCAATATTAATAAATACAATAATTATCAGAAAAAGCAAATAACATTAATAACAGCACGCTATTTAGTGCATAAGTCACCATGTTATTTAGTCTAGCTATTAGCAAAGTTTAAAATGGTGTAAACGTTTGGTAAGTTGCTTAAGAGAAAATGAGCGGAGAAAATGCGTGTGTCACAAGAGCGTGGGAGGTACGAAAGAATAGGGTTGGTTTCTAAGCAGGTCGTTATCCCACGACACAGAGTTGACATTATGAACTGATCCATTAGCCCCATATGATAATAATAGCTTTTCGACTGACTTCAAAAAGGAGGTTCTCAATTCGACTGTATTTTTTTTTATGTTCGTTACCTCTGAACTCCGTCATTTATTAACCGATTTGGACAGTTTTTGTGTTATTTGAAAGTGTATACTTTCGGATTGGTCCCATTTAAACTTCAAAAAAAATACTACCCCTAAAAGTGGAAAAATAGCTAATGATTAATTTAACCTACTTCTAATTGTCATATTGACTTGAAAATTTGCATGTGTTTCTACTTCCGTTGATAGTACAGTGGTTAGGTATTGTTGACCTGATCTGATGGCAAGGTCAGAAGGTGGATAGGTGGAACTCTTCAACGGCTAATAGTGGATACTTTGAGTTCGGGCTTATTTTGTTTGATTTGACAAGCCTAACACGTTAGAATCCTTGCTTTGCTACTCCTGTCTACACTAAAAAGGGCAAAATAAAAACTTTTTAACAAAAAAATAAAATCCGACTTCAAACAAAAGCACTAATAAGTAAAAAATAACTGATTGGTAGTTTTCATTTACTATACATACCTAATCAAATATTTTCGAAGTCGGTGTGCTTTGGCTAAGTAATTAAAGCCTACCTATTAAATACATATCTAATCAAATATTTTCGAAATCGGTGCCAGCCCATACAAAGCAAAGCACACCGACTTCGAAAATATTTGATTAGGTATGTATTAGTAAATGAAAACTACCAATCAGTTATTTTTTACTTTTTAGTGCTTTTGTTTGAAGTCGGTTTTTAGTTTTTTTGTTAAAAAGTTTTTATTAAAAACTTATGAACGCACGCTCTTTGCGTATTTTTGTAGTAACAGAACCCGCGGCTACTCACCCTCGCTTCTCTCGGGTTCGTTGCTATGTATTTGTATAATATTGTTTATACAAAAATACTCAAAACGCGATTAAAAAATGGGGAGATGGTGTTAGGAGGGTGAAAAATACTTTACGACCTATTCTCATACCTACCAAATATACAAAAAAAAATATCATTAAAATCGGCCGAACCGTTTCGGAGGAGTGCGACCACAATAGGATTATAAGATTTTTCAAGCCCTAATCCTTTAGAATTTTAAAGCATCTAGATTTAATAATTTGTTTTATATTAATATTAGCGGATTCGGTAAATAGACGATGTCCAGCCAAAGGCCTCGTTTGGTGAGAAAATTAAAAAACAACTTTATTATAATAACAGCTACCTATCATCAAAATCGGTCAAGCTATTTAGAAGTAAAATAATTACGAAGATGAACACGCCCATAGAATTTTATATACAAAAATATATTATATAAACGATTTTTGGAAGAAATTCTCTAATTAAACTACTGTTTGAAGACACTTAGTAATGTTTTTTACAACATTAGCATTAAATAAAAGTACACATTATGTTAAAATATCTAGTTATACATCTTATCTGATGTAACACCTGTAAAGGTTAACAAGTAAATAATAGGCAAGATTAATGATAAGGTATTTAGATTTACCTGGATAAGAGAGAAGTAATGTATACATAGCTTTAGGCTATTTTTAGGCTAAGCTCTCAGAATCTTTTTATCTTATCCTAATATTGAAAACTAGGTTCTGGCCTTTATTTTGAGATAAAATAAGCATATAGGAAGATATAAAAATTCTTTATTATAGAGGTAGAGTTATGAAAGTTGTAAGAAATCGTATTTAAGTGCAAAGAATAACTTAAAAATATTTTTCGAAACGAGATTATTCGTTCAACGACCGGATAATTAATTAATATCATTTATTCAGTCGTAATCAGACGATATGTTTAATTTACATCAATTACTAATATATTTGTAGATTAGAAATATATTCTTAATGTATGAAAAATGTTTTTATAAATAATTATTATCGATACAGAAGCCGAATCTATAGTTTTTAGAATTTTTATCTGTCTCTCTGTCTGTGACCGCATCACGGTAAAACCAATGGAGGGATTTTGATGAAATTTGGTATTTTGATAGCTGGTTATCTAGGTCAACATATAGAATTTACAGCGGGAAAATATCTCATCTCTGAGATCGCTGTCGTATAGTTAAACTACATAAAAGAAATTCTATACATCCTAGCCAAGATAAATAAGATATCCTAAACGAAAAAAACAAAAAGCCCCTGTGTAAATAAAGTATATAAGTTATACGCATTTTATGTCCATGCGTAAATTATAACAACCCTTTTTCTCATCAATATAAAACTGAAAAAGAAAACTTTCACTAATATAAATACGTCAAACCGAGCTTTTAGCTAGTGAAAATGAAACCGTTTATGGTAATTTTGACAAAAACTCGAACTTTTGTGTCACTAATGATTATAATCTAATAAGCAATAGGTTATATAATTTAAGAAAGCCGCTACACTTGACCGGCTGCTTTCACCTCGAGTTAGTCGCGGGACGCGGTTTCTCTTGCTTTTTATGGTAACTTGTTTATTTTCTTTAGTCAATCAATGTCTAAAAGTATCATTCAAGTATTTATATTTGCCTTCTTAGCCTTTATCTATTTTATATAATTTTTTTGCATATTTATGAAGGCGTACTATTGTAATTTAATCGCTATATATACAACTTAAAATTTATTGAACAAAGCTTTAAGTAGAATTGAAGTATTCAAAATAATAAAAGTGATGTAATTTATAATAAAAAAAAATAAACTAAAGTTAAAATTAAATAAAAAAATAATCTTTTTTAAATAATTTTGTAATTTTATGGGTAGGTGCTGTTTGTAACAACTATATTATATTGACCATTGAGACGTCCAAAACT